TCTTTTTACTGCCATCTATTCAACGATATTATAGAGTTTAATAAATTCTATACAGATTAATGGAATAATTCTAGCTAAAAACTAATGATATTATGATATAGTAGTTATTTTGTAGATATTAAAATTTTATATGAATTTTTTTATTTTTTCATTTAAAAATCTCATTTTGATTACTTAGAAAATCAATTTCAAGAATTATTATTATAAATATAATAATCATTAATTGAATTTTTTAAATAAATCTCTAAGCAAAAAATAATTTGAATTTAATGCGCACTAATAATTTTATCATTTAATTCAATTGGATAAAAATCTAAAATGGCATCATGTAATTCACAAAAATCCCTAAAATTTTCAATTTGCATATAAATGATTATTGAATCACTAAATTCTGACAATTAAAAATAATGATTTTTGGATTTTACATATCAATATTTAAAATATATAGGAAAAATCTTAAAAATTTTAATATCTTTTTAAAATTAATCAGAATATTATAATAAAATATAATAAATAAAAATATTTCATTGATATGATTTATCATTGATATGAATAGAAAATATTAGTTACTAAGACGTTCTAAAATTTTATCTGCTATGGTTATGCAGTATTAGCGCTATATAGGTAACTAATCGTGCCGCGAAGAATAGAAGAAGAGAATTAGATAAGTGCGGAGGTTACTCCGATTTTGACAGATTTTGAACATGCTAATTCAAGTATTAAGTTGACAACAATTTGACAATTAATTTGTTAATTTCTAACTCATATTCTAATGTACTTTGAATATATTTACAGATTATAATTTTTATTGTCATTGTATACATTATATTTTTTCTTATCTTATATTTCATTTCTTATCAATTTATATTCTTATAATACGCAACGTAGAAATTATTCTATAGCAATATGAAGTTACACCCAGATGTATATGATAAATTATATTTGTGAGTATATTTAATGCATGTTTTTTTTTAAATTAAATATTAATATGTTGAATAACATATTAAATAATATATTAAATATATTAAATATTGATATTTTAATTATATTTCAAATAAATTGCTTCTTTAGATATATTACACCTGAAAAATTTTATGTAGAACCTATTGGAACTAAAGTGCTACTTGTAGTTGATAGAGTGAATCAGCAAATTTATACACAAGGTAATTAACAATATAATTTCTATTTGATATCTTTGACATAACATAAATTTTTTAAATATTTCATTCACATTTTAGCTGGTACAGCTAGTCAAATTCCTTCAACTGCAAGCCGTAGAAAAATATGGGGTATTGTAGGAACTATAAGGCTGTTAGCATGCAGATATCTTATAGTGATAACAGATGCTATAGATGTTGGAACTATAGCTGGTCATCAAATTTTTAAATTAGTTTCAACAGAAGTTATACCATATACTAAATCTTCATTACATCTTAGTGAAAAACAAGTGCAAAATAATTCAATATATGTAGAAATGATCAAATCTATATTAAATACACCTTATTTTTATTTTAGTTACACATATGATCTTAGCCATACAATGCAAAAACTTCATAACACCAATCCTGAATTTTTACAGGTCATTATTTGCTAGATATTTATTTATATTTGATAAATAAATTTGTTTATACTTGGAGTTTATTTTTCTATTTTTTCTATTAAATAGATGCCACTTCATGACAGAGCAGATTCTAGATTTGTTTGGAATGCTTATCTTCTACAAGATTTAACATCAAGACCTGAACAATATAAATTTTGTCTACCTATCATTCATGGATGTATCCTTGTAAACAAAAAGAAAAAAAATATATCTTTATTCAGTTTATATCTTTATAAAATTTATATTTTCCTTAATATTTATTAATAATATTTATTATTTAGTTGTTTCATTAAATATTATTACTGTAACTGGTAGCACATCATTTAATTTGGGTATAGTATCTAGACGTAGTGTGCATCGTGCAGGAACAAGATTATTTTCACGTGGTATAGATTCTACTGGTAATGTTTCTAATTATGTAGAAACAGAACAATTAGTTGAATTCAATGGACATCGTATGTCTTTTGTACAAACAAGGGGTTCTATTCCTTTATTTTGGTATCAGGCACCAAATCTAAAATATAAACCTAAACCTCAATTGGGTATTCATGAAGATCATCAAACTGCCTGTGCACGACATTTTGAAACCCAAATATTTCATTATGGAAAGCAAATTTTAATCAATTTAGTAAGTTTATAAAAGGAATTAAAAGAATTTTTTTTTTAATTTTTATAAATATTAGTTTATTTTTAATATTGTAATTTTAATACAGATTGATCATATGGGTTCAGAAGGTATGCTTGAAAAAGCATATCACAATGTAGTACAACAAATTAACAATGAGAATGTTCGATACGAAAGTTTTGATTTTCATGCTGAATGTAGAAGATTAAGATGGGATCGATTGAACATGCTACTTGATCGATTAACTCATGAATTAGAACAAATGGGTTACTTCTTATTATTAGAAGATGGAACATTATTATCGGCGCAAGATGGTGTTTTTCGTACCAACTGTATCGATTGTTTAGATAGAACTAATGTTGTTCAAAGTATGATTGCAAAGAGAGTTTTAAATGATGTGTTATCAAGGTTACAAATTCTTAGAAAGATCGAAGATCATCCTAGTATTGAGGAACATTTTAAACGGGTAGAAATACAATTTTATTTATGTTCCTTTTTTATATTTTAAATTTCTATTTTAAATTTCTTAAACTTTAATATTAATTCTAGATTTGGGCTGACAATGCAGATATAATAAGTATTCAGTATTCTGGTACTGGTGCATTAAAAACAGATTTTACTCGAACTGGAAAGCGTACTAAATTGGGTGCAATGAGAGATGGTTTAAATTCTTTAACAAGATATTATAAAAATAATTTCACTGATGGTTATAGACAAGTATACATTTTTTTTATAAGAGATTTCTCATTCTTATATTTGTATGTAATAAAATCATACTATATTTATTCAATAGGATTCACTGGACTTGTTTTTGGGTCGCTATATTGTACAAGATGGCGAATGCACGCTAATTCAATGTCCTTTGGAATCGGAAAGAAATTGGCGTTATGCTACATTCCCTTTAGTACTTCTTGTTGCATCATCCATGCTAGTTGCTCATATAATCTTACCTTCGAGATATACTACTGAAATTTTATTGTATATACTATTTTGGGGTGCTATGGTAGCTGGTACATTTGCAACTATAATTCATCATGGCAAGCAATATGTAGATAAACCTAAATTGCTTTAAAAAATTTTCAAATTCAGATAGAATATATTGTATAACATTTCTAAATTGTGGAATGTTAAGAATTATTTATTATTTTTCATCATCTAATAATAATTTTCAAATATATTTTTCTGTTAAGATTTATTTGAAAGAACAATTAGATAGTCTAATATTTAAATTTATAAAATCTACCTTTATATTCATATTATTATATATGTATGTTATAAAAATTTTAAATCTAATATGTATCATTGATGAATTAGATACAGTAAATGAACAAATGTGTTCTTGATCGATGAATGTATATAGATTGACAATGTAATTAATATTTTTAATCAAGATATTGTTAATATCAATGCATTTTTAAATAGAATAAGATATAGCTTTTAAAGAAACATACTTGTTCCTTTTTCAGTTAATTTGACACATTTTAAAAAATATTGTAAAATATTGTAAAAAATTTTCAATTTTGAGCAACATTTGCTCGTATATAAAATCAATTTATATTCTATAGCGTTTGATATTTACCGTCCACATACATATAAATTACCTGCAATTATTTGATCATTATAACTATTTGATTATTTCTTTTAAATTCTAATATTACAGATATTTTCAATCTATAACATATATTTGCAATTTAAACAAAATTGGAAAAATTAATATATTAATACTGATTTTTTTAAATGAAAAAAACAAGTTTTAAAAAATAATATTAATGATTGTTTTATAATTTATAAGCGTTCGAAGATCTAGTAAAAAATTGAATTGCATTTTAAAATGTACAAAATATATAAATTTCAAATATTATTTATATTTATATATAAATGTATATAAATTATATATTTAATACAAAAATAGAAAAAATATTTTATTTTTCATTAAAATTTTTTATTAAAAAATTATATATAATGAAATATATTGTAAAGATTATACATACAAAAATTTGATATAATTTATATAAATAATAATAATAACAATAAATTATACAAATTATATTATTAAAACGAAAATATTACTTGCAAAAATTTAAACATTAAATTTAAATATATTTTATATATATATAATAAATTATATACATATATATATATTATATTATATACATATATATATTATATTTTTGATTTATAAAAGATTTTTTGCTTTTTTTGATTTTAAACGAAGTGATATCATTATTTCTTTTTGATTCTATTGATCTTTTGATTGATATTAGTATTTCTTTTTCTTGATTTGCATCATTTTTAAAAAATCGATTTTAGAGAAATAAATACAAAAATTGATATACAAAAATGTTAATTTTTGTGAAATTTATTTATTAAATTAATTGAAATTTGCGTTAGATGAAACAAAGCAACAAAATGCGATGGAAACATTTTTCCATTTCAATTCGTCAACACATTTCAATTACCTAATTAATTTAATAAATAAGTTGATATTTTTACATATATCAATTTTTATTTCGTTTAATCTTCAAAATGGTACCAAAAGATATATCTTATAGACCATAAGTATCAAATATATTATATATTAACATTCTATAAGTAAATAAAAATTTTAAATAAAATTATATTATATATATTAATATTAAATATATAATTTATAAATATATATATACATCTATTTATATACAATTAAAATAATTTTATATGAAATAATTAATCGAATATTATATAAAATTAGAAAATAATATGAATTAAATAAATATAAAAAATATTTATAATACGTTTGATTCAATTTTTTTCTGAACTTGTTATCTAAATGCCAAGTTAAATTGAGTATAAAATGTATAAATAAGTACATATATGTATACCATACTACTGACTTTGCCATGATGGGTTTTCCCACCCCTACTTTTCTCCTTTGAGAGCATACGAACTCACACGCACAAGATCCACTAGAGGTTCTACTGTGCCTCGCAACTCGCGGTCACATAACATTATACGGTTAGTTCGTTTTCAGACAGCGCGTTGAGTGGAGTTTCGTTCAATTATTAAGTATATATATATTTATATTTTCTTTCTTTGTTTTTTTTATCAAAAATACAAATTCTTATGTATATAATTTTTCTTATCAAATAAGTTTCCACATTTAAGGTGAAATATTTCCTTATAAATGAAATTATAGAATGACGTAATTAGCCATCAATATTTACAAACACTGTCGAAACGAGAATCCAACGACAACGAAAAATCGAATACATGTAAAGAAGCCAGCTGTTCGAGGCGAACGACAATCGAATGATTGCTCGAATAAACGGAGCAGTGGCGTCGCTTGCGAACGAACGAAACAAGAACGAATAAGTTCTGTTGTTTTGAGAAAGGAAAATCGAACGAAATCATAAAAATCGATTAATTATTCATTCAGAAAACTACAGAAGCATCGCATCAAGATTTTAGAAAAGTTTAATATATATGTATATATATATATATATACTCAATACGTTGTGTATATATACAAATTAAAACCATAATTTTTTTTTTTGACGAGCGGGAAAAAGTTGAATTTTGTATACTGATCGAAAGTCGATATCGAAAATGTTGAATTCATCAAGGACAGCACCAATGGAAAGTAATATTCCAGTGAAAACGCAATTAAAGTGTGAAGAACAATGTCACACCGATTCTGGATTTTTATCTAGTGGAAATCTTCAAATTAGTTCTGATCTATATGACTATGAATTAAATGTTGTAAACACACCCGTTACCCCTATAAAATCAGATAGTGGCGTGGATCTTGGCTTAAGCGAAAAATTGAGTCAACTCATGAGTTGCAAGGTTCAAGTTGAACCTACTGTTGAATTAACTCCGGTAAATATTAATAAATTTGATCAACACGATGCTCCAACATTATCACGTGAATGGCACCAATCCACTAAAAAACAAATCAATAATGAATTTCAACAACTGTACTATGATGAAAATGATAATGGTGATATGTAAGTAATTTTCATAGAATATTCTCCTTCGTTCAAAATCTTTATTTTTAATCTTAATTATATAATTTTCAATTAATTTTCTTATTTAAATTATGTCATCATAAAATAATTTTTTATATTATTTTAATAATTATATTATATAAAATAAAATTTTCTATATAATTTTCTATATAATAAAATAAAGCAGTAAACATTTTGCATAAATTTTTTTTAAAGACATTAAAAATAGCGATTAGTACATAACAGTATGTTAAACATAATTATCGATATATCAATATAATAATTAATCAATAATTATTATTAACAAATAAAATTTTATGATTTGACTTCTTTCAAAAAAAATGTTTTAAGTAACCGTTATTTTTTATCTTTGCTGTAAACAAATACACGTGGATGATGATCATTTAAGTGGGTTAGATCAAATTCTGCTATATCGATTAATGGTATATCTTTTGTTTGTTTCTTGATCATCATATATTATTTTAATTCAGATTATGATTAAAATATTTTCAAAATATATTGATCGATTCAATGGATGTTAACATATAAAAAGAAAGAACATATAAAGAGCATATAACATATAAAGAATATATATATATATTTCTTTACAATGAAAATATTACGTGCATACATAATAAATTAATAAAGTCAAAGAAAACAAATTGAAAGGAATTACGATTTGATTATATTATTTCAAATAAATAATATTGTTATTGTTATTAGTATTAAAATAAATATTATCAAATTTTAAACTATTTTTTATGATAATATAATAAGTGAAATTAGAAAAATAGATAAATTAGAAAAATAAAAATAGATATTGTTATACGTGAATCCATCCTTTCATACATATTTTACATTGTGAAGAATTTTGATTAATTGAATCATTATAATCATATTTATAATTGGAATTTTTTTTTAAAAATCCTTTTGTTTTAAATCTTTTATTAAATTTATAATGTTGTTTATAAATTTGTTTCTTTATTTTTCTATTAGACAACTTCATATGGCCATAGTACAAGATTTTGTAGAGGATACGTTCAGCTTAATAAGAAATTCTACAAGACCACATTCGTATCTTTTAAATATCTTGAATCATAATGGTCAATCACCTCTGCACTTAGCTGTATTGGCTCGACAACCAAGGATTATTAGGGGATTAATTCTGGCAGGTGCAAATCCAGCATTGAGAAACTTTCGTGGAAACACGGCTCTTCACCTAGCTTGCGCGACTGGTGATCTTGCCTCCGCAAAAGCTCTTACCGATCCTTTAACCTCTATAGAAAGAAATTATCTTCTCCCTGGAAAAAAAATACCTGCCTTACCACAAGATCTTGAACAACCGAATTATGAAGGTAGATGATTAATTTATAATTTCATAATTCTTTGTTTCTGTTTTCACTTATTGTCTCATTTCCAAATGAGATTTTGTTAATTTTATTGCTTTTGTTTTAATTATATATAATAATAATAGCTAATAGTCTATTGATAAAAATTTAAATAAATAATAACGCGAAATATTCTTATCTTTCTTAAATATTCAATTGAAGTATGATATAAATATGATACAAAAAATATTCAAAAGAGAGAGTATTCTCATTAGTAGACAATAGGAAGTGTATATAATAAAATGCTTTACAAAGAAGGAAGGAAATGTGCATGACGCATGGCTGGTATTGCTTGTGGAGAGGATAAACGAAGCAACTCGGAAAATCCTAACAACATTTATCGCATGAAACAACAGTCATTGGCATTGCATGCGCGCGCGAACAGAAAACAATCCTGTAATCCGCGATTATTCGCGGATTTCCCATGATTTCATCAAGGATCGAGAATAATGTTCCGTTATTCTGTTTCTTTTCTTCGAAAATTATATAATGTCAAAATGCAATAGAATTATTGATATTTTCGAAAATATTGATCGTTACTTTCTAATAGAAAATATTGAGGAGAATATATGCATTTCCATATAACGATATTCATGTAATTTTCTTCATGTTCGATTTCTTGTTTTTACTTATTTCAGCAAAAAACACTTCAAAGGTTTTTGAAGAAATTTAATCAGAAATTTTTTCTATCCATATTTTTTATCCATTTTCTATATATTTTTCTTTGCTTTAAACATATAATTGATAGGTGATAAATTTTATATTTATCATGTTGTTTCTTTTTTTTTATATGTATATTGGATCTTGTACATATAACGAAAATAATTGAACGTTCTTTTACATAGTTCTGGAATTTCCACATAACGTCATGCTTATATACCATTCTGTACTTATATCATATATAGATATATACAGAACGTCGGACTGCTGGCGTAACGGCTGATTTTGGACCATGACGAAAATAATTTAAGTTATACTATGGAACAATTTTCAGTCTAATTGCAGATTTATTGTCTGTTACTATACTTGATCGTATTTTGTTGTCTAATGATTTATATTTTTATTGATTGATAAAAAAAATGTAAAAATTTATGTATATTATTTTATCGTGTCAATTAAAAAAGTATATGTATGTATATTCAAATTAGGCTTATATTAAGAAGATATAATATACATAATTTTTTGCATATATGCAAAAATATTGAATATATTGAATATATGCATTCAATATTGAATATCAAGGATTTGAATGCATTTGCGATAATTCGACTGATAAATTGACACTTAGAAAATTTTACGGATAAAAAAATTAGATAGAAAGAAAAAAGTAAGAAGTAAAGAGTGTTGCGATTTTAAGCTCGGAATACACACGAAGGAATTTTGGCGCGTCGTCTGCACGAGCGGGTACGCGCGTTACATCACGCAAGGCGTGCGATGAGACAGAAAGCCTGTAGCAGATGTTTTTAATATTTAAAAATACCTACACGACTATTTGTGTGTCGTGATATTCATGCTCCACAACTCGGTTCAACTCGATTCGAATGGGAAACTCCACAATGGCGCGGAAATCAGTGGACTTTCGTTGTTAAATATTTTCTTCGAAAAATAAAATAGAGGATAGAAAAGATTTAATCATTCTTTTCATATTTTCAATTCTATTATATAGTTTATCACGAATATCGGAACAAAATTTATTTAATTTTTAGACGGACTTTAAAATGTTTAATTATATTTACAAATTACGATATGATCATGATCATCAATATCATTCATGTATGGATACAATTTCAAAATATGTAAATTATATTTTTTCTGTCTCTGATTATATATCATATAAACGTTTCGATAAGAATAGAAACATCAATATTTATGCGGTTAGAGTTCTGTAAATCTTCCTGTTGTGAGGCTCAACTGCAATGAAATTACATTCCGCCAATGTACATACTGCTAGTGGTAACAACGGAGGGTTAATTTTAGCAGTTACTTTGATCGGTACGAACCTAGTTTGGACCACGGGACGCCAGCCAAAAGAAGACGACAATGATTCACCGCATCTTCCTAGTTCTATCTATATCTTTCAAAAGCATGTGACTCCATCGCATCATTATGAAGCAGGCATTTCTATCTTATGAATTAAAATTGTCTGATTAAGCAATATGATGACATTTTCAAAATTCGAAAATATTCATTCGACATGAATTTATGTTTCAGGACAAATGTGTTTACATATAGCCGCTTCATCGGATCATGTAGAACTCGTACGACTTTTGGTGCGCCGTGGAGCGGATCTAGACGCCAGAGAAGGATTAGCAGGACAAACGGCTCTTCATCTCGCTATAGAACGTAATTGTCGGTCAGTGATCGCGTTCCTCCTTCAAGAATGTAGGCCTTGTTTAGATACACCAAATTATGCTGGAAAAACCGCATATCAGACAGCTCTGATCTATGATAATAAACTTGCAAGGGAATTAGTAAGACTGGGTGCAACACCGGAACCACTCTCTGAATCAGATTCAGATACCACTGATGAAGACGAAAGTTCTGCTAACAATTTATCTTAAAAAAAATGTAAGCGATATTAATGCGTCTATTAATCCTTTGACTAGCGTTTTAGCTTTGTCCGTTGTACGAGTATTTATATCTTTCGATTATTATGGATATATTGAATAGCCTCATTTCTGGCTACGCATTACAATACCATATGTAGGATAGACGAAAATAATTCGCACTCCGAATTCAAATATTAATCATAATAAATCGAATAAGTTTTATTTAATTAAAATTAATTAGTAATAAAATGAATGTAAAATGTATCATAAAAACGAAAAAAAAGAACGAAAAATTATACGATAAAACGAGAGACGAACGAAGAGATAAATGTATCTTTTTTTATAAGAAGCAACGTCAATGCTTCATTAATACACGAAAAATAATAATGAATACGATTATTGTTAAACAAATTAAATACAAAGAATTTACATTTACGCTTAGGAGACTGTAAGATCTCGTTTTGTAAATATAGAGGAAAATATAAAATATTTTTATTGAGTGATGATATGAGAATGTATCAATGATATTAATATTTGAAAGTGTATTATGATAAGAGAAATCTGATAAAAAGAAGTAGAAAAAGTAGTACATAATAAAACATTTATAATTTTATTATTTGTTTTACAGTGTACATATATATATTTATATTAAGTAAATTAAGAAACAGAAATAACACTTATGAATAGGAATATTTATCAAAGATTGTATAAATAATTTACTCGCGTATTATTATATCAGAATTACGATATTTTATTGTAAACTTATTAATTTCATTTTTCTCTCCCGATTGTACATAGTCAAGTTTTATTAATATTGTAGACATATCGTTTTATAGTATCAGCAATAATAATACGACAACATTAATGTTGTTATAAGACGTCCATAATTATTCTTTTAATAATAAAAGACTTTAAAAAATTCACTATAAATTTTAAAACTTTTTTTATATTGACGTATACGAATAGTGAAATTTTATTAGAAACATTAATATTTATAATTCGATTTAATTTATCAAGAAATAAGTGTAAATTTACGAAAGAGTAAAGAAAAACAAAGCATTTGTAAAAATATAGAGCAAGAACCGGCTGTTGGTTATTTCGAGTTTATAACGTGTAATGGTCTAGGCATTCTCAGAAGCCTATATACTTATTCCTTTTTGGGGGAGTTTGGTCTGTGAAGTGCACAGGTTCTAAGATATATTTGGACCTTGGAAAAGAGGGGATTCTATTAATCATCTTAATAGTCTTTCGACTGTAAGTAAGTAAAATAAAATTAAAAATTTAATAATCGAAATTATTATAACAATTATAATAATTAATTATTAAATTATTTTTTATTATTATTATAAAATATGATACTTTCTGTAATGTAATATAAAAATATTCTTGGGTTATAGGATCCAATATTAGTGAACAAAAAATAATTGTGAATATAATATTGCGGTTACGGGAAAAAAATGCAGCACGACAAATAGCTGGGATTCCCCAATTACTTCAGTTTGGTGATGGAAATACCAGATTCTGTGGTATGCCAAATCAAATAACCTTGAACATCAAAACATTTCAGCATTAAAGTTCATAATGATATCTATATTTACGAATCATCTATACGAATTATTATTTATATACAGATAAATTCATTTTTTACTCTTTCATATTTGGATTTTATTATTCGTTAATATATTTTTAATCTATTATATATATATTATACATTTTTGTATAGCATTTATAAAAATCAGAATATAATAGAGAAACTTTCTGTTTGAGAAATTTTTATCTATTGATTCTTTTTTGTACTTTTCATGAAGATTTCGAATGTATGATGCACATGAAATGATTGTTTGAAAAAAAAATGAGTTAAAAAAAAAATAAAAAAGAGAGAAATGCGAGCGAAAATATCTTTAATAAATAAATAAAAACTGAGTATAAGCAATCAGTAAACGAAAAAAATATTTTTATAAAGTTAGAGTCCTTTTTTTAAGTTTTTCAGCATCTTTTTCAGAAGATTTAAATTAATCCTTACAAAATGAACTTGTCGAAAAGATATGTTCTTCGATTCGCGGAATGTCCGAACTCATTATGTATAAATACTAAAAATATATCCCGCCAAAATATCATCTTAAATGGTTTACAGATATCAATGTTACCAGCTATCGATAATATGTATGTGGCGCTATTATTGTAGGAAATAAAGATGGAAAATTTTTCATTAATTAGACAATATGGCGACTAATGTAATTCTTGAAATAAAATATATATGTTTTTAATTAATATAACATTAATATAATCAATATAATTTTTATATGCATTTTTAATATTAAAATTCTAGTTTTTGGAAATTCTGATTTAATTTATAAATTTTAACAATTTGTAAAAAAAAATTTTATGTTTTCAAAACCAAAGTTTTAATTTTTAACAGGTGCGTGGTATGATAGAACTCGTTTAATTAATTATTATTGTACAATTTAAATACTTATCTATATAAAGGCTATAATTATAATTTTTGTAAATATATGTGTATATATATTAAAATATAGTTGGTATGTTCAAAAATTAATATAATTGTGAATAAAACAATTTCTATAAAACCGATTCAATTCATCTCTTTTGAATCGATAAAATAGTGAAATAATCCATGCTGAAATACTCTATATCTTTATTATATCTTTATTTTTCTACTATTTGTTTTCCTTGACTATATACAAATGTTTGAAATTAAATATATTTTCATTATTTCTCTTTTAAGACTATAATGTATCGTAATATAATTTAATATAAAAAATATAAATATTATATTCTTAGCAATGTAAAATGACAATATATAAATGCATTTTGATGATAAAGATATGATGCAAATATTTTGACAAAATGAATCATTCAACCTATAAAAATTAAAAAACTAAAAAGCTTAAAAATTTAGATTCTTTTCGATTTTATTATCTGATTAATAGTTAGATTTGTTCATCACTAGATGGTGCATCAATAACCATAAATTGTATAATTTTTAAAAGTTGCTTTTTTAATTCCATGAAAATTAACTTATTATATAATTGCAGAAAAATAATTTTTAAATAATTTTTATATAAAATGGTACTTTTAATTGTAAATTATTAATATAATCAATATTAAATTATGTATTATTATTTTAAATTTGTAAAAGATCAAATAAGATTATTATATTTAATTCAATTAGTCTCAATTTTTATTAGAAAATTTTTAAAATTTCCATATGAATATTTAAATTTTAATATACAGAGGCAATATAATCACAATATTGTGATACTATACTGCTGATCAGCTGAGTCGTTTTATTCTCTCTCTATTTCGTTTCATTTAGTATAAAATAAAATTGCCTATGATTTAAAAATTAAGTTTGAATTAAAATTTTTGCACATCAATTTTTGTATTTATTTCAATATCTAGAATTAATTCTTTAAAGAGATCCTTTAAAATCCTTTATTTTTAAATAAGAACAATAATAATTGTCATATAATTATAATATTTATATAATTTATTTTAAATCGAATTCTATTCATTATTTTATATTTTTTATATTTAAAAATTTTAATATTTTAATATTTAAAAATTATATATAAATTATAATATATAAAAATTATATAAATGTAATAAATCTTTTTTTTATTCTAGTTTTTAAATGTTATAAGATCAATTTGTTGGTACTTATTGTTAACTATATGTTGGTAGCCATGTTGATAACGTTGGCAATAACTTTAATACCGGTATAGAAGTAAAATTAATTGTAGAAACAAATATCGTTAAAGTAAAAAATCTTTTTATATTCATTTTATATTTATTTTTATTTTTATCTTAATATTAATTTTATAAAAAAAAAATCATGAAATTTGAATAATTATAGTTTAATCGGTAGTTATATCTATTTAGTATATATGAATATTTACATATGATATATACACACATACATGGATTGCTCACAGCGCACTTGTCATACTGTGGAACTAAACGTACATGACATCGAAATGTATATATGTATTATACATGAATATATCGCAATATAACGATTTAGTTCCAATAGATGTTACAGATAGCGCTAGAGTCAATGCATTAACACTTCACAAGACAGATTGTTGGCCCCCGAGTCCGGAGTGAATCTATCGAAAAATTTTAAACAAGAGATCGAACGTGAGACAGTGTTGTGCGTATCATTGTAAGTTTTTTTGCGAAGAAAAGAGTGATAAAGATATTATTTCAAGAACAGGGCGCCTAAAAGTCAGGATACGAACCTGATCCATCTCAAGCGCGGTGAGCCGCCGCGCTGGTGGGCCTAGCAGACGACATGTTGGCTGCAGGGAGTACCTCGTCTCGGATGTTTTGGTCGCGAATTTCCTCGGGGATTCTTGAGTGAGGAGAGTGAGCGAACGCGGTGAAAGTAAGGTGAAAAGAAAATAAGACCACTCGAGGGTGTGTGCGAGAGAGGGCACACGGTTGGGTTCCCCGAGTGGTGGTTGTGCCGCGGTCGTCGACAAGAAGCTCGTGGAGAGGGGTAGAGACTAACGAGCGGCGGGGAGGGGGAACCCGGACGAGCCCTCGAAAAATTGAGGAGTCAACGAAACGAAAATTAGAAAAAGAAGAAAAATTTCGAAAATCTTTGGTGCGTAAAGATTTTTTTTGTGAATCTAAGAACTTAGAAAAATTGTCGGGACCGGAATACGAAAAAGTTCATGCGACTTAAAGAAAATCGGTGCAAACTACTCAATCGCATAAATCATCTTCCTTATTTATGGGAGTTGTCGATTCCACGACTTTCTTCAATTTGCTCGAATAAAGAGGTAGTAGCGCACCGGAGTCGATCTATTTTAACTTCTCGTTGTTCTGTCCGAAGGGTAGGGGCTGTGTGGTGAAGCGAGGCGAGGTCGAGCTGTCGTATACACGCGTACGAGTCCCTTCCTTCTGAAACGATTTCGCGTGTGCCTCGTGTTCGCGGGCCATCACAGGAGGCGCATCAGACAGTGCACGTCAACCTATTATCCCAGTCCCGGTCTTGCTCCCACTCTCGAGTATTCATCGTGCCTCGTGTGTACTCCCTCTATCACAACCTGCAGCGAGTATTTCGCGGCCGGTTTTTCGTCAGTGTCAAATCGAAAATTCGGAAGTGATTCGATTTCTTCTATATTATCATTATTTTCTCATCGTATCAACAAGCATTTAATCGTGTTCAGTGTCATTACGCGATTCGCTTATTTTCGTTTGAGTGGATTTATTATCGAGCCAGGTGTTACGACCCATAAACGTCGCTTCCCCACGACAGATTGCCCTCCTAGAAACTCCAATATTGTATATTTATATTCTTTATATTCTGTATATTCATATTCGGCACGCACAAGATATCGAAGTTAGTGTGTTGGACCAGCAGCACTGTCGTCGATCGTGTATAGCTATGATTTCGCGGGTAGTGCGAAATAGTGAAAGAAAAGCTGTGAAGTGAATCGAGTGTAGTGCAATTGAGAAGACATCAAGACATACAGATGCGTAGTTGTTATTAGTGTAAAAAACGGAGATAGTAAAGGGGCGACAATCAGAAAAGGAGAAAGATTAGCACATAAGAGAAGGAGAACGAAAGAGAGAAGCATTAAGGAAGAGGAAAGGAAAAAGAGTGATTAAAGAAGAGAAAGAGAGAGAGAGAAAGAGAGTTTGATAGAAGGATAAAACTTGAGTGTGGAGAAGTACAACACGGTGATAGATAAGTATCGAGTGACAGACACGGCCGGAACGAAGAAACGAACTTATAGTAGGTATACGTCAAAAGGAAGTGAATCTCTACGAATTGCGGTGACAGAGAATATATTTATCGAACATCACATTCACACGAGATAAACAACACGCGTTGACGATAGACTCGTTACGCGAGTCTATTCTCTCTTATTCGGAAGTAATATAGTGGTGAGATTGTCTTTCTCCAAACTGAAACAGAGAACAACAGAAGTGGAAGGGAAGAGCGAAGAGGGTGAGCCGCGCGTGTCTCTCTCGTGGTGTGTCATGGGGTGTTTCGGCAGCCAGAGCAGTAAGGCCAGCCAGGATGACAGCAAGAACCAGAAGAGGCGCTCGGATGCCATTACCAGGCAATTGCAAAAGGATAAGCAACTTTACCGAGCTACTCACAGACTTCTTTTGCTTGGTAAGTAAATTCGTTAAATTTTTTATTTCTTTTTATCTTACTCTTTATAAACATCTTTCGATTATAAGTATATATATTAATATCTTTCTCATAAGATCTTTTATTATGTTTTGTTTGAGATATTTTCTTTTATATTTTTATTTATTTTCTTTTATATATTCTTTTTTAGATATAGTATAATCTATATCTGTGTACACGTGTCACAAACAGAGAAAATTTCCGCTAGAATACCAGTTGAATCGGCTTCGATCACCAATTTTGGACAAAAAGCGTCCGGTCAGAGGATAGGCCGAACATTATCGCGATGTTCAGCAGCGCGTAATTCAATTTTATCGATTATCGTATGAGCCGGCACCCACGAATATCCAGCGAGCTGGCTGGCTCATGTTGTACCCTTTTCGTGTCGCTCTCTTCGTCTCCTTCTTCTCCTTCTCTCGACCGAAGTCTTTTTCACATAGTCAGCCAATACGGATGTGCGCGTGCGCTCTCACACATGCACACATACTATCTACTTATTGCGATACTTAACCCAACACCTAGCCATTACCTTCCTATTCTTCGTTTATGTAGGTCGTCGTTCTAATTCGACGTGTGGACGTGTGTTGTGTGTTGCGTATAGTCGATTCGTAGCTGTAGGCTACGAAGCAACAGCTGTTACTGTATTGTTTCCTCTACCGTGTGCAATTACGATTCTGTTTTCCGTTTACTATTCCTTTTCCAAAAAAAAAAATACGATAATATGCTACTATCTTATGCTGTGTCCATTGAATAACCTTCCAAATGATCATGTAGAAAATCGATATCGATCTTTAGATATATATATATACATATATACATATGTAAAATCATTGCTTTTTATTCCTTTTTTCTTTTTTATTGCAAAAAAGAAAGAAAGAAAAGAAAAAATCATTTTTTATGTTTTAGGAGCGGGAGAGTCTGGGAAGAGTACCATCGTCAAACAGATGAGGATATTGCACGTGGATGGTTTCAGCGAAGCGTAAGTTTCGTTGCTCCATTATAGCTTTATTTTTAAGCCAATCTAATATTCGATATTATTCGTACAACACGTATGAATGCATTCGATATAACACGTTAACGGTGACTGATATATAACCTCTAGTCCTTTTTTTCTTCTCATTAATGTGCGTTTGTAAATGATTTAACTCGCGACTAATTCGATCCATCGCGTGATTGCAATATCAACACGTGGCTTCAGTAAATTAGACTTTTTTTTTTTAACTTTCTTTTATATTTAATATTTTAATGTTTGCTCTATTTTCTTGTTATAAATATTAGCCTAATTCTTATTAAATTCTTATTAAATTGTAATTCTTTTATATAATCTTTCTATAAGTACAATATATAGTCTTTCAATACTTTTTCTTTGTTTTTCGCTGATCGATCCATTTTCACATCCAGCTGTTCATGTTGGAAAGCATGCGGACGAATCAAAAATAAAGTCGCGAAACGATGCAGGCCAGACAGAAACAAATCGTTATCGTATAAAGAATGTCGGTATACGTGGAAAATCAGAAACAACTAGATAGAATGAAAACGACGTGCAAACAGACTGGCTCGGCCCGATTCGTGTGTGTCGTAAATTCTGTCTGCCTCCGGCTCTGATAACGAACCCGAACGCGCGCCTTATTACTTATTACGTTTTGCGGTGATTTCTTTTTCATTAGCTTATTTTTTATTTTTCATTCGTTTATCCCTTTTCTTTTTCTTTTCATGTTTCTTTCATCAAAATTGTCGCGCATTATCAAATATTCGCATACGAACAACTGGATTTGCTTCAATATGAAATCGCGGGAAAGTGTTTCCATCGTCGAATTTCACAGGCTGTTTTTTGCTAGCGACGCGATTCTAAGAAGCATTACGTGTTCAACGCGCTTGATGCAGATTTCGCTTGTTTACTATGGAAACATACCGTACAACCTCGCGTATTTTTAGTCTTTTTTTCTCTTCTTCCTTTTACTTTCCTACCCTCTGGCATTTTTGCATATAACATACGTACAAATTCTTGATTGTCTGTCTCCTCTCGATCATACGATGTACACGATAACAATCTTAGGAATTTTAATTGGTTTCAATTAAGCAAATAGAATTACATAAATATATTTACATTTGTAATAGAAATTTTTGGAACACGGTAAATGGGAACAGCAAAACGAAGCTTTTAACGTATAATCCTAGCGGTAAAATCGTTGATGTAGGCGGTCGTTCGATTATTTTTAGCATTCTTATATTCGAATAACGCTTGTAATAGGCCGCGAATCTTTTTAATCCGCGGTCACATAAATTCGAAATATTAAAAATTGAGAGATCGTTCAAAGAAGTTGAAAAAAGAGGGAAAAAATAGAAAAGTAGAAAAAAAACGAATTTTTTTGAATAGAAAAAAATTTTTTTTGCGGCAATAACATTGTATTGTAAACAGCTTGAATAATAATTCGATAAAAATGTGAACCTGATTAAATTGTCGTCATTTTATAATGTATCTGTATATACACACATATATACATGATATACACGAAAATTTCAAATGAATGGCGACAGGTATTACCATAAAACGAACAAGGCTCACATGAAAATCCATTGTTTTCAATAGTTTCGTCAGCAAAGAATACCGTATCGATCGTTGATATTTAGATCCAACGCGAAATTTCCAATATGTCTCCAAATTGATAAAATCGTTATATTAAAACTGGCGTGATGCCGTGTGATCTAAAATTACCGAATGACTCCGAAATTAATAATGAAAATACATATGTATAATATATCTATCGTTCGATGTTGTTTCGATATAATCGAAATAATAATAAATTGTCATCTTAAGTTATCGGTTTCTTTTTTTTCGCACGGCATTAAAATGTATTTATCGATATAGCGAGATCGAGATCGGAGGATGAAGTACATCGTTTGTTTCTCACGTTTTTCTGTGCAGGGAAAAGCGGCAAAAAATCGAGGACATCAAAAAGAACATCAGAGACGCGATACTGGTAAGAATTATTCCTTTTTCGATATTTGTTTACGCTATTCAATTTCATATTTCGCGCGGCATCCAACACTCGTTCAAGATTATGTCTACTGTTTATTTTTATTCCACTGTGTGGATCTTATAATCATCATTCTTCGGGACACGCATAAAGCGTAAGATAAAATAACTTGTGTAATGTGTTGTGTGCTCTATATTATTTTTTCGTTTCTCTAAGATAATTATCCGTAACAAGTGGCAGATCTTATTATGATATCGATGTTGGATAACACTATTACTGGTAGATCCCGTAAATATTCGATTACATTCAGTATATTTTATGAAAAATTGTGCCTCTATTAGTAAAAAAAAAAAGCAACTCGATATCATTTTGTAACACATAATTATATTTTTTAATAACTCTTAGTCTTATAATGTAGATGTGTCCTCGATTAACGATGCGACACACTTGCCTTTTCCGAAAATATCCTTTCGAAGTAATATTCGCGAAACATGTTGAATAACGCGGTATATTCTGGGAATTCAGTGATTTATAGCTAAATCGATACTAAAGCGTTGATGTTTTCTATGCCGATGGTATTACAGCGAAGGAACGAGAATCGCCACGGAATCGAACAATTTTTTTTTTTTTTTAACTTCAATAAAAATTTTCTTCCGTGTGATTTCTGAGTCAAAGTTGCGGTATATACGCGAGGTGCGTGTAAACGCGCCCGTTTCGACGGGCGTCCCGTCATTAACGTTACGTGATGCGCCCGTAAATTCGTAATGGTTTAACGCGCCGTGTCGAGGAGAGCAGCGTGCTGTCATCAATTTGTCGTTCGAGGCCGTGTTTAGATACGCGTATCGTCTGTAACCTTGCAATCGCTTCCGTATGTCGGGTGAATGTAATAGACAAGCCTGCCCCGTGGCACTTAAGGATTATGAATGACATATTATCTGTGTAAAGATAGATACGGGCGAAATGGTAATTTCGCATTAAACTCCTGCGAAGAATGCACTTTCTTTTTTTTATGTTCGCGATAACGTAATCGTCGGTAAATCGTAACTATACGCTTTATCGATACGCGTGGAAAGTGTTGCTCTTTTTTTTTTTTTTTTTTTCTTTTTTCTTTTTTTCTTTTTTCTTCCCCCTCTTTTCATCGGATGTGCGTTCCTTTTCAGACGATAACCGGCGCGATGAGCACGTTGACGCCACCCGTTGCTTTGGAGGATCCGGCGAATCAGAGCAAAGTCGACTATATCCAGGAAGTCTCAAACTCCCCGGACTTCGATTATCCCCCGGTGAGTCACAGTCAACTTATTTGTTCCACGTGCTTTTATATGTGTATCTTCTTAATGTAATATAATGAAAAATGCGTTACGGTCTCCGCAAGTGGTTCACTGTCGTTTTTCTTCGGTCGAATAAAAGATCGGTCTGGCGACCGATAAAATACGCGGTACTTAATTTATCATTTGCATCATTTGTTGCGAAGTGTGAATATTATGAGACGGTAAAATAATGTCAAACAGTCGCAACGTATTATCCCTTTCTCACGACGGATACTTTTATGGTATCGCGAAATATTGTGTATAATTTACGATCACGATATAAATTGGCACAATTTCGTCGCGTGAGAGCCACTGTGTGGCATGATCGGTGTTTACAATGTTTACACAGCCATCGCACATGTTGGTGTGCTATACAGTGTGTTCTGGCTATGATGTGCTGCGCCATTCCCCACCTCGTACACGAAATGCGCTCGTGTATATCTTTGTGTCGATCGACTACTGTGCACCTTCGATTATCCAACTCTGTCACGGTGAAAGCGAATCAAGTTTCGGGAAGAAATATTCTTCGATGTAAATCCGTTTTAAATCTCTCTCGAGTGGCGAGAAAATTCGAATATTCTTGGAATATTCGTGGATTTTGACTCTGGTCCAGGTTAAACTGGATACGATCCTATTTCATCGCATCGATCATCCATCTTCGATCCACGATTGACAATGCGTTACGCGTTATATGACGAGAAGAGGGTTAAGATTAAAATTTTATTACCGTGATGATTTTAATGAAAGAGGGCATTATTTCGAGGAGAGCAGACGCGCGCGATTATAAGCGGGAGACGTACGACAAGAATGTTCTGGTATGGATCGCGTAATTTCACAAGCCGGCGCGTATGATGAATCGTACGGTGAAATTAGTTAGGGGAAAACAGGGGAGGGTGTACCATTAAAATATTACGACACGAGCGAGCACGGTACACGTTATTTAACCCGTTTAGTCATTTTATATTCAGGCCAGCAATTCTGCCGCGCCTCTTTGAAACGTGCACTGAAGTTGCTAACGCGATTTATCCCTTAAAGATCCGCCGATTTCTTCTTCTTTCGTACGATATACACGCCACCTCGAAATTTTAACGAATCCGTCTTACGTAACCTCGGATCGATAACACGGAAAATTTATCAACGAGCAATCCTCTCGACAATGCCCTTAAAAGCAAACGTAACAGAACAAGAGCGTTGAATGAAATCTTTTTCTCCCGACATCCCGAATTTCTTCAAGGGGAGGGATCAATATTCCCCCTTTGGCAAGATACGCTTACGTGCGAACAACGATATATAAGAAAATCGATCTAATTCGAGAGAACGGTTAAGGAAAGATTATAGGGGTCGAAGAGGCATTGACATTTTTCTCAGCCAAAAACTTCTGTCACAACTCGGGGAGAATAATGATTTTTCCCGTGCCAAGAAGATCGGGCCGAGATTTCGAGAGTCCCGCGAACGCTTCGAATCGTCGAAAACTACGTGGCGCATCTCGAAATAAAGTCGTCGCGACAAAATAATCCATGTGTTTTGCGTCATTCAACTGGCAGTTGCTGCTACGTGCGTGCATGTGTACATATACTTTTCACGTAGCTTTTGTAGCCCCGATTGTGAATACACGGATCGTGAAACTGTCGTAGTTTTCTCGTTCTTCTCTGTTTCTACGCGTTTCGACATATCATCATTGAGAACGATGCATTCGAATTAATCGAATAAACTCGCTTGATCACGGCTCGAGTTTCGTGTTTTCGAGCGAGTCACTCTCTCCTCGTTCCTTCGTCGAGAAAAAGTATCTGGATTTTTGCTCGACGAAACTTCGCTTATCGAAATACCTTTGACCGGATGTAAAACACCTACGAGCACGAGTAAAGATAGTCATCCGTTGATCGGGTAAGGTGAAGGGTTTAAATTTGAATTTCTACGATGTATACATGTGTCGGTGTGCGTACGAAAGAGAGAGAGAAAGAGAGAGAGAGAGAAAGAAAGGCATTTATGCGTGCGAACAAACGCGTCTTTGTGTCAAGAGGAAGTCAGGCTATCTTTTATTCCGTTTCGCCATTCGACGAGCCGCGTCCAATTTGTCACTGTCGTTTTCGCTTTTTGCATATCTGGTCGTCACTCGTCGAGGATACGGAAGTTTATTTCGAGTCGAATTCATACACCGAATTTGACCACCGCTCACCGTCATCGGCCGCATCTGTGCGGTTAATCCTTGCTTTACGAAAATATAACAAAATAAACGTTCGAACGAAATTTGCGGGAAAGGTTAACTAAAACTAACCACCGTCTAAAATTGTCACCGTCTATACGTCACGTTTATATTTTTCGTGATAATCGCGAATCCAAAATTTCCACACATTATATATATATATATATATATATATATATTATAGCGTGGATATATTATACGAAGAAAGAAATCGGGGAAATCGAGATCGGGATAATTGGTTCAATGATCGTGAACTGTCTCTCTCTCTCTCTCTCTCAAAAAAAAAAAAACACATAAATTTAACAATTCTTAAAAGACTTACGATTTCTCGCTTTGATGCAAATAAAGCACACGATCAATTTTTCCTGGTTATGCTCGTTAAATTAATACTCGTTGATATCTCGAAATTAAATTACACCTCGGTTCGAGAGTTATCACGATTGCCGCCTTTTTTTTTTTTTCTCTCTTTCCCGTCCCGACAACGCTTCGGCAATAGATGTTATTCGAATATTTATCTTGGCTCTGATACCTGGTCGATATCCATTTTTATATAGGGACGGATAATACGCGCGTGCAAAGGCAGTGCGGCGATCACCAGCGAATTAAAATTAAAAATGAGAAATATTTTCGTCGATAACGGGACGCATATTCCTCGTAATAAGTTGAACGGCGAAACTGGTTTTTCTCGTGGACCAAACGCGTTATTCCGAATATTCAGTTGTCACGATGATAGTGGCCGTTGCCGTTCGAGCCAAATTTTCCGTTTCGTCAGAGTCGCACGTTTTCATAGATAATTAATGAGACGCGATAGAAACGGCCGCCAAACCGTGAACTTATTTGCAAACCTAACCGACGGATGCGATCGCGCGCAACGATCATTTATTTTCGAACCGTTATTTCTTCTTCTCATCTTCTCCATTTTTCCACCATTGTTCTTGTAATTATGATTCACTAATCGTTAATTGTAATTCGTGCTTCCAGGAGTTCTACGATATCGTCGAAGCCCTTTGGAAGGACCGAGGTGTTCAACAGAGTTTCGAAAGGAGTAACGAGTACCAACTAATTGACTGCGCTAAATAGTGAGTCATCTCTTGCTTTCACGAACATTAACATTAGAATGAATCGAATGCGCAGGAATTGCGCACATAGTGCGCCGTAACAGTGCCGGGAACCGGATCGATCGATGGTGTATCATTGATAAAAACAAGGGGGTAAAAATTATCAGTCTGTATTCGTAGCGTTTATAAATGGTTGGAGCCGCGACACATGGTTATTTTAATTCGCCCCCATGGTTGATATCGCGATAAGAAGCGCGTGCGATAACGTTTGTATCGACGATAATGGGACCGCGAAGCCGCGCCCGATTTACCCGCGGTTTCGTCCGCAATCCTTTCAACTATTCCGCGCGTGCCATAGAGTATAATAACCTGGAACGAGAACTCGTTGTGTTCCGTGAAAAAAAAAAAAAAGAAAAAAAAGTGTAACGGATCGCCTATGTATGTATGTATCTGTACGTGCATGTTTGTGCGCGTATTGGGCACGTATTTGTTATCGTATCTGACTTGTAAATAATCTGCAACGCGGTTGGATAAATTTTGGAAGCGTTCTCATGACCGCGATACATATATGCTATATCCGTGTATATATTCATGGGCCTATGTGACACCGATTTAATGCCAATGGAGACAATGCCTTAACGAGGTAATCGCTTTAATAGGGGCCGCTCGTTTATCTAGGGGTTCTTGATGAATTGGCCCAACCTCGAACTTTTTTCACGCTGTTCACCGACACGCGAGCTTTTCAGGTATACGAAATTGCTCGAATACTTACCGTGTATACTTACTTCTACTTCTCTTACTCTTTCTTCTTTTCCTCTTTCTCTCCCTCTAGACGATATATTTAACACCGTACAAAATATTCCTTTTTCTTCTACATCTGAATTTCGATTTATCAAAAAATCTTTACGATTTTCTAACGTTGATAGGTCAACGTTTAGGATCTCTCGTAATAAAATAAAGTTCCCTCGAAAGAGAGATGCGTTTGATAATTTTTATCGCTCGGGTGGTTAATAACAAGCTGGTAAATCGGATCGGATGGGAAATTCCCAAAGATCCCGTGTATATATTTTCAACTCGTCTTTTCGAACATCGAGCTCGAAGAGAGGACACCCACCGAACCGATAAATTTATATAAATGAGCGAAAAACTGGTTCGCTCCGGTCCGTCCCGGTCCATCAGCTCACTTTAAACTGTAGCTCCCTTTGAAAATTACATAGGTGGGTGAGGCACATAGGTTGTTGCACTGGATCGTGGTTAATCGTGGCGTGAATCTCGTGTGTAAACGCGAAAACTTATCCGCTAGGCTAACAAATCCCACGTGACCGATGTGATCGTCTATCAATTCGTCGAACACTTTAATTAGAGACAAAACTCGCTTTATATTTGGCCACGCAACCTTGCGCGGTCGTTTCTTCATGCCCGCATACACCAATTACCATGGATGGTATCGTGGCCTGTATCGTTACACTGTCAATGGCAGGAGAGAGATTAAAACGTTCATCGTTGGTGTGATGCCCCTGGGGAGAGGCGAAACGAGATACCATATATATTCACGATCGACGTTTAGCGACTTGGCAAATAACGTTTAGCGGCGGGATCGCGATCAAGATCACGGTGATAGTTTTCGTTTCGGTTTAAAAATATAGTTAGAACCCGGTTACAACCCGGTTACTGCACCTCTTCGTTCGTGCACACGTACGTTCGTGTGAATTTTTTAACCCCTCTCTTGTTTCTCCTCTTTTTCTTTCCTCTCGCTCCCTCTTCTTTCTTCGATACCCTCTGTCTCTCTCGTCCTCTTGTGGAAGGAGAGAAAGAGATAGAAAATCCGTCGATAAAAATAGTGCATCGTATTTTTAGAAAACACTGCTCGAGATATAAGATATTCGCGTGGACCACGGAGACGCTAGATTGTTGTAATTTTGGACGCTTGTTTGCTAAACACGCCTCTCATTCTTGATACGCGATCAAGGATTACGTACATACATACGAGAAGATAAATAATTGATCGTGAAAGTAACGGATTCGTTTTTTTTTTCTTTCTTTTTTTTTTTTTTTTTTTTTTTTTTTAACAAAGAGAATCAAAATTAAACAATTTGGAATATACTCGGATATATTTAAAAAAAAAAAAACGAGAAATACGGAAAAATATCGTCGAATTTATATCGATCCACGGTGAATAGATATTTGTTCTCAGGGAATAAGAGATTATTCCTATGCAACAACGATTGATTTATTATCGATTGTTGGTTTGATCAGTCATTTCTGATTGGAATAATTAATCAGATTTTTAATAAAATTCACAGACAAAGAATGTTGTCTGTGTTATATCTTTTCTCTAATTTTTTCGTTTCGCTTTGAAAATTTAATTCGAAGCTACTTTTCATATCAAATTTTTCTTTCGTATTGAAGATAAAAAGAAAAATCGAGGAAAAAAATAGGAAGAAAGAAAGAAAAAAAAATGTACAAGAGAGAGGAAAAAAAAGGAAAGAGAGAGAGAGAAAAAAAAAGAAAACGCTATACACGGGGAGAATCGAGTAACGTGCCAATTACACGATGGAATACCTCGGCACACCTTAAAAAAGGAAACACGTGTCTCTATATATAGACGCTGGTCTATATGCTGGGATCACTGATGTTGCCACACATAGTTCATGAATGTTTAGGTCGATAACAATCTTCTTCCGTGGCATCGTCACGTTAGATAAAAACTAATATATTTTATATTCTCGTGAATAACTTTCGATTCCTGTGCCTCAAATATAGATCGATGAGATCGTTTCGAAAGATCTTTTTTTTTTTTTTTTTTCTTTTACAAATCACTACCATATTTTTTTTTTTTTATATAAGATTAGTTTTTGTGAATTGAGTTATATATCGAATCTTTGCACATTTACATCAAGACAAGAAACAATAAAAACGTGATGTAAATTGAGATAATCGTGATCGTGAGGTAATTGGAATCGCCAGGTTTCTTAAATATTTACGATTCGAGGCAACGATCGTTCGTAACGAAACACAGAATGTTAGAAAGCTTCGAAATCGAATAAAGAATATACTTACAGGATGTTCAACAGGATTCGATTTGGTCTGTTTCGTTATTTATTTAGCATAGCATTGTTTTGTGGTTACTTTAACCTCGTTTAAAATTCGCTGTAATTTATCTTAATGAAACTAACATACTTTATTTACCTTATTTTACATATCGTTTACATTAAAAAATTCGTACAGAAAATTTTCAACAGCCAGAGATAGTTGAATATATGAATATTTAATTTTATTGCATCCTCCATTATCATTTCTCCGCAATTTTCCGATAAAATAATCTTGACAGTTGAATCGATGATTTTAGAGACTTTGACAATGGAATGTCGAAAATAGTAGGCGCCATATCGTGTCTTATCGTTGGAAATAACATTGTTAGAGTTGACCTCAAGGTCGGTGAAGTTACACCGCTTTGGTAACCAGAAAATCGTTCTGCTGTAGCCAGTGGGTCACGACCTCCTTCCTCTTTCAATTCTCCCGAGGTCGATAACCTCATTTCAGTGCGAGCGCGCCAATTTCGTGACCTACCTTTCTCACGAGCCTACACGAGGTTCCATGTAGCCTCTCTCCTATCCCAGAGACTCCCGTTGCCTCTCCTACGCCTCTCCACTTGCCGAAAATCAATTTCGCCGATTTCTGCTTCCTCGAATTCACTCGAGGAGCCAAGTTTCTGGTTACTTACGCCTCTCGAGGTCATTGAACGCTGTATTAATTGCCGTTACAACATTTCTCCTCCTGTATCTGTATATCTCGTTCCACTTCCTTCGTACTTTTTAACTCGTGTATATCATCTTCTATAACGAACAGTGGATAACATTCCAGAGATAGTAGGTAAATAATTTTGAAATTTCTCGAATTTGTAACGTTGTAATAATATATTCCTTCCGTTCAAAGTTCCGTAATATACCGAATGAAAAACTGAAACTCTGTACGGCTATTTAATATCCGTGTCGGGGAGCAGTGGTGGTGTCTGTCAGTAAATATATTATCACCGTCAACCGACTGTGGAAGGTTGCATGATGGTGTCAAAGCGAAGATCCACCCTTGTAGCGCTCTCGCATGTATATATATATATATATATATATATATATATATATATATACACATACATATATATACCTGTACCAGGGCGCCGGTATACATGCATGAAGCTAAGTCTGCACGTACGATTGATGGCGAGCAGCGGTGGCAGTGACCCATGACCCGGATTGGAAACTGGGTGCTAGAGAGGCATACCCGGCGAGGCCGAGAGGGCGAGAGTTGGGGTTAGGATAGGACACCACCGAGGATCGATTTTCCCCCTTCGTGCGCTCTCATCCACCCTAGACACCAGCCGGGGAGGGTCTTTTGAGAGAAACAGAGAGAATATAAAAGAGAGAGGAAGAGAGGGGGGGGAGGGAGGAGAACGTGGATACGAGGATAGAGGAAGAGGAAAAAATAACGAGAAAGTATTAGGAAGAGAAAAAGGATGGGAAATATGAGAATCTCTTTTCGATATTTTCTCATTCTCTTCCCACTCTTTTTCCAATTTCTCTTATTTATCGTATCGTATCATGTGTATTATTTTCGATAATACCGTTTCGACTCGAAGTTTTGCGGCTTCCATCCGAATCGAATAAATAAAAAATTTTCTGCACTTGATTAAAAGTTTAGAAACGTTTTCAAGCGATTAATTTTATTTTTCTATGATCGGTATTTCGAATATACGGATACCTCGAATCCATCTTCCCTTGCTCAGCGTTTTAAAAAAAAAGTGTGCAATCACGAACACAGTGAAATGGAGATGATATCCGTAAATGTGTGAAGTGACTCACACGATAACAATGCGGTTGATTGGTGACGATCGTTATCGGGGATGGTCAACGTTGATCAGAAATAATCACATATATACATTGGATTATGGCGTAGCTCATTATATTATCGAATCGAACACTTCGTAAAAAATTTACAATTTCCACGAAGTCTCGATACACGAAATGTGTAATCGTATCTTTTGTTCTCTGTTCCAGTTTTCTAGATAAGGTAGCCATTGTTAAACAACCGGATTACACCCCCACAGAACAGGTAATGATCGGCACGAGCTTCTCACGTGAAAGCGTTATGAAGTGTGAATGATAAATTTTATCGATCTGTTCCAGGACATCCTCAGGTGTCGAGTCCTCACGTCCGGTATCTTCGAAACACGGTTTCAAGTCGACAAAGTAAACTTTCAGTAAGTCCTCACCGATAGCTGCTCGCTTTACTCCAATGTCGTCTAACTATATATAGACGACGTATTACAGTAACATCGGCCGACGGTAAATATAACGCAAAGCAGCGACGCGCATCTCATCCCAGCGTATATATTACAGCTATAGACTTACGTGCTATACGTGCAGCGAAATCCGTTAGCCGCGTTAACGCCTCCACAACTTTATAATATTTTCCCTTTTTGCCTTGTGGTCCCCGCCTACCTCTCTCGGTTAGAGATCCTATATTTCGCGTTAACTTTACGAAGGAACATTATTTATCGGTCCCCTGTACAATTTCACACCAGTCAAAGTTAAATTTGTGAATCGATTTTGATTTCAATTTTTTTCTTTTTTCTTTTTTTTTTTTTTTTTTTTTTTTTCACTCGTCGTCGACGGTGTTACGTAAAATATATAGTATGGACGATGTTCTCCAGTTTCCAATAATATTCAATGATTGCTTGTTTGCAGTATGTTCGACGTTGGTGGTCAACGTGATGAGAGGAGAAAGTGGATACAGTGTTTTAACGATGTAACGGCAATCATATTTGTAACAGCATGTAGTAGTTATAACATGGTACTCAGGGAGGATCCGACAAAATTGAGACTCAGAGAAAGTTTGGATCTCTTCAAAAGCATTTGGAACAATCGGTACGATTCAATTTGATAGCTTTTCATAATATAATGTGATTTGAAATAATTTTTACGTATTTGTTTTTTTTTTTTTTTTTTTTAGGTGGCTTCGCACAATTTCCGTAATTTTATTCTTAAACAAACAAGATCTATTAGCGGAAAAGATAAAAGCAGGAAAGCACAAATTAGAAGATTATTTTCCAGATTTTGCGAGATATCAGACACCGGTTGATGCTGGGGTGGTAGTAGATCCTTCGGAACCTCCTGACGTTATGAGGGCCAAGTACTTCATTAGAGACGAATTTCTTGTAAGTACATTCCAATAGAGATTAGGAATCGTGTTTTATTGCGCAAGCTATAAAATTTCTCGATTCGATTGTTTGCAGCGTATAAGCACAGCGAGCGGCGACGGCAAGCACTATTGTTATCCGCACTTTACATGTGCCGTCGATACGGAGAACATCAAGAGAGTGTTTAACGATTGTCGGGACATCATTCAACGGATGCACTTGCGCCAGTACGAGCTCTTGTGACTTCGTTCCTGCCAACATGTCCTGTCATCTATTCGTATAAAAATTACGGTAGTGATCCATCTTGAGCTAACGCGAGTCAAATGAATCGTACCGTGGGCGATCTGAATAATATCGCGATGTACGACGATATAATATAACATTGGTGCGTGGAACTCTTCTTCGCTTATCTGAAGCCGTTTAATTATTCAGAAAGTAATGCGTCGAAGACTCCGCGTGCATGCATACATGATTGATGACTGCGAGTCGATCATTCTTCTTCGACAGAGAGTTCAAGGAGAAAAGTTGATACGCGGTGGTTGGGGATTACCTAAAGAAAATCTGTCTCGCAATGGAGAGAATAGTTCTCTTTTTTTGCACAGAATCGCTTACTATGTCATTGGTGTACAAGCAAATTATGCCCTATGCGCATTCTACTCTAACGATCGTTTTGACAGAAAAAAAAAAAAAGAAAAAAAAGAAAAAATATCTTGGGCATTTCGATTACTCGACTCCTTTTTTTAGGTTCCGTCGAGAGTGTGCTGAACGTCCTGAATGGGGGGGGGAAATAATATTCTTTGGTAGAAAAAACTCGTGCAATTTTAACTATTACCTCGTTAATTTTATTCTTATTACGCATCAATTTGTTGATAAGAGTGTGAGAAAAAGAGAGAGAGTCTGGAAGAGAGCGAGGATGTACGAATGTTTCAACGTGGGCCATTGTTACAAACTAACATGACGGCGATCGCCTGGCTCCTTCGTCCGGCACACTCGTCGCGTTATTATCTCGTTCAGATTTAGTATTAAGAATGTCTCCTTAAGATTTAGATGATTTCTCCGATAAAAAAAATCCTTGATTGAACGTTGAACGTTTCTTTACTCATTTTTCGAATCTCTATTTTTTCCCCTTAAAACGAATTTAATTATATCTATCTCCATACTGTTTATTGGTAAATTAATTTTTTCGAATTTTCGAATCTCGATTTTTAATCACATTGGCCCGACCCGTAGGAGTCTCAGCCGCACGTCTTTTTACAAGAAGAGTATTTTGTGAGATTTTACAGTATTTCGAAGAGCGTTTTAATTATATAACATATGTATCAAATATGTACAGGGTGACCGTCCACGGATTCATGTTTTTATGTACGTTTCCTATGAATCGAGATTCCTCATTGATATCGTTTTTACTGATTTTCATTGAACTATTTTAATTCGTGTACTTAGGCACATAAATATTGTCATTGTAGCTAGTGTCTACATGTAAATCCTAAACGTACGCAAGAGAAATGTGCCACGTGGGAAATTCGTTTTACACGTACACTTCTGACTATAGTGTTAGGCTCCAACTTTACAACAATCAAAGTACATTATTATAAACGTTATAACATACGGAGATAATAATATTTTGCTTTATTTATTCGATTTCGTAACATAATGTCTCGTGTCTCATTTTTCGAGTATTAAATGCTTTGTATCCTGAGAGTATGCAATGGTAAACGTGTACAAATTTCGATCGGTGCATACAAATAATCAATTATCATCCGAACTTCTTAGGGTAAAGTTTTCTGAACCAAAGTGCGATGTGTGAATTTCTTATCTCACGTATCTGTACTATTTGGACACCCTGTATATGGTAAATCTCCTATTATTTTCTTTTAAATCTCGATTGTATTTTTTTCTTTCGTTGTACTTTTTTTTTTCTTTTTTGTTTTTTTTTTTTTTTTTTTTTTTTTTTTTTTTTTTTTTTTTTTTTTTTTTTTTTTTCTTCTCTCTTCTCAATTTCATACCAGAATCCAGAGGACGAGAGGGATTTGTACGCGTGTGCGAACTGCTTCGAAACTACGCGCATTGCGGTTATATCTCGCACGTGCGTACACGTGCGCATTCTATTATAATTATATAAATTGATAAATTGATATACATATTAATAACAGGGAAAAAAGGGGAAAAGAAAATATTCATCTCGAATTGCAATGCGCTTTTTTTTTCGTGGCAGCACGTTCGCTCGTATATTTACATACTCGTACCCCTACATTAAAAACCGGGTTACTGATCTGTGTAACATCTACTTTTATAATAGATAACAAGAGTTTAACGTCAAATTAAACTGAATAAAATAAGGATACGAATAAGCCACGTTCCGAAGGTTTATATAACACGTCGTAAATATATTAGGGCATCCGGTCTTACTATCCTTATTATTGTCTTTTTTTTTCTCTTTTTTTTTACACATTTTTCTTATTACATTCAATCATGTTTATTCCTTTTCTTTTTATTTATTTGTCACGATTAATTATTTCTTCGTAAAAGAAATAAGAAGAAAATTGTTCATGAAGAAATATTTCTCAAAGGAGAATGTTTTCCATTTTTAGTTTTTATAACGTATCTAGTTTATTTTTGTATCGATATGTATCGGTTGTTTAAAAAGTGTTTTTATCCACAAATATGGATAACCAGATTGATTTCAATCTATCTCAATAATGTTCCGTCTAATCATGTTTAACATTGTGGCCGTTGAAACGATGAGGATAGAAATTCCGGACATTGCATAAATGGTTACTCCGTACATGCTAACGAGCCCACACCCTCATAAATGTATTCTCATGTAATATCAATGTATGGGCCCGTGTGCATACATATATATGTATACCTATCGTACTAAACATAACTGACAAGCCATAGTTTGTAACGGTATTTATAACTTTACGAAGTGTTATTTTTACTGTAAAACTTGATGACAGATGTAAGAGTGAAAGCAAGGATGCAAAGGAGTGAAAGACAGTGAGCCTGTGCTGCGAGTATACATATATATATACATATATATATATATATAAAATATTACCTGTCGATGAAACTTCCGTGAAACTTTAATGTTCATCCAGCACAAAGAAATATGAACCATCATTTTGTGTATGTCAGCGCATGAACGAGTATTGTGTAATTGTAGTATTGTTGCGAGTATTTGTAGGTCTTGTGTCTCGTTATAATTTTTTTTTCTTTTATTTTTTTTTTTTTTTTAACCGAGAAACACGTTCGTTCCAATTCTGAATGCTTTATCCAATGATATCGGACAACAAAAGAATAAAAATAAAAATTACGTAAAAACGTACTGGACTCAAAAAAAAAATAAAAAAGTATTCCTTCGAACGATTGACCGTTTTCGCGTCGGCCGCGATGCAATAAGGATAAATGCAGAAGTAAAAGAAAATACTTGCTACTAATCACTTGTTGAATGTAAATGAAATTCGTAAATGTAATTATAATCGACTATTGTGTGCGCGTACACAAGCGAGAAACAAAGCGGATACCGAATTAATAAAATAATTAATAAAATATTACGTGGCCACGATTATATCGATATATACATATACATACATTCATTATATATACGTACATATATATATTGTATACATACGCCGATCGCACAAGTTTTTTTTTTTTTCTTTTCCGTTTATTGTACGTACAATGTATCAGGCATGTGAATATGTACATGTAAAAATAAGCGGTGCAAGTAATTATTATTTGTAAATACAATAATAGCAGATACAGATATAAAGCAATGACGCATCGATAATAATTTGACAAACACTGATTCAAAACTGTGCGTTTGGTTTATGAATGGTACTATTCGCTAAATAATGTCCCTATAAACATTACGTTTTACGTTGGCGATTTTGTAAATTGCATAACGCCGCTTAAAAAAAATGTATCGTGCATTTAAGTCTTTTTTGATAGTGATTGCGATCATTTTTCTTATTTTAAGATAAAGAAAAAAAATTTTTCTTTCTTATCCTCCTCGATTGCTGCAACAAAATCAAAAACGGCCCATTTCGCATTTTGTACAAAAACGAACCACCCCCTATTTCTTCTTTCCTCGCGATACGACGCCCCCCTCCCCCTTCTCCCCCGTGCAAGTCGGAAATCGTCGATGAATACGATGTAACACGTCGTCCACGAAGCGTATTAGTCCCTTTGTGGACCACGTTGTTGAGAGTATTGCCTTAAAAAAGCGAAAGTCAAGGTAGACGTGTGCAGTGAGCATGGTTGAAATCGTCGTAACGAGAGACAAATGTAACATTTGTTGCGATTATCGTTGGTGATAATGACCAATGATCGAATTCGCGAAAACGATTTTTCAAGTTTCTTTAATTGATTCCAAAGAATCAGAATTGATGGAGAAATTAAAAATTCGAAATTATGAATTATGAATTCGTTACGCGTTACTAACTAAGCCACGGAACGTCTGCTCGTAGATAAATACGCGTTTTATGCTATCATGCTCGCGTTTATGTTAAGAATACAGAGTCATTTATTGTGATCGTCTTATCGTTATACTGTTACTCGATAAAAAATTGTCTTTACACAGTCAGATTTTATTAAAGCGAAAGATGTAGTTATAGTATACTATTATTATCATCATTATTATTGTTATTATTATTATTATTATTATTATTATTATTATTATTATTATTATCATTATTATTATTATTATTATTATATTATCATTGCTATTCTTCATTCTCATCCTTCTCATCCGTCGTCACATTGTCATTATCATCTTCATTCTCACCATCGTTATTAATATTTTAATCATTCATTATTGTGATTAGCGATTACCGTTGTAATCATTGTTAAAAGCTATTTTCGGGAGAAATTAGATTCGTCGATTTAATCTAGAGCGATCTATTTATTTAAATGACTACGATCAACGCATATTGAAAACATTGTAATTGCTATATTCGAATATTGTGGTTGTCGTTTCGAATAATAGAGATATTCGTCTTTCATACATCGTAGTTATTTATAAAGAAATATTTTATCATCAAAAAGAGAAAAAAAAAAAAAAAAAAAAAAAGAATTTCACATTTCACTTCTATCGAACATCGAGCCAGAAACTTGGATTGTGACTTGGCGCATAATTCTAAGACGATTTAATGAGAAACGAAGTTTTCAGAAGTCTTAATGCAAGGCGAAGGTCGACTCGTGAATGACATATAACACATCTATGTATGCACATGCATAGAGACTGAATAATCGTTCTCAAAGTTATCAGAATTAGTAAATCGATGACGCATATACAAATGCATGGAAAGTCAATAAGTTCAATCGTTTGAGATTACGATTATCGTGGGAATAAATACCGATGCATTTTCTACGTGTACAGAGATGTAAACGTGCTATTTTTATTTTTCATCAAATTATTCTCATCGGAAAAGTGAAAAAGAAGAATCGGGAAAGCATCATTTCGAATCGAGTATTCGTTTTAATTTACTTCAAATAACAATAATATACAATAGTATTTTCATCAGTTTTTTATTTTTTATAATATGTTTAAAAGTAAATGCAGAATTAATCACTTGCGTCAGACGATTATTGTGATATAATTCGTGACGTTCTTTGAATATTTTTAATGATCACCCTTGCATATGTAATGGATATTTCGCGAAACTGTTCATGATTAATAAGCATTTCATTAGAATGGACGCGTAAACGTAATATGATCTTGTTGAAAACACGATCTTTCGGAGATGAATCCTTACCATTATCTCTATCTTTCCATCCAGCCGTTCGAATTTACGAATAGGCAATAAAAAATGTTCCACTGTCTTCAATCTAAAACATCTTGACTATTTTGTATCATGGTTCCAAATGTTTCCCGATTATGGGTCGTGTCTGCCTATATATTTTTCGTTGATTTTTCATACTTGGCCAGAAACCGAGATTGCTTTAATAGAACTATTAAAATCATGATTTTATATCGATAAATCGTTCATTATCTTCATAATTTTTCGTTCGTTCAATTGAATCGAATTACGATTCAACGTGAGATCAATTTGACTCAAAGAAATACTAAATGAAAAATGTGAAAGAGAAAGAAGCTATTTGAGCCTCGGGCGCGGCAACTATTCTATTCGTTAAATCAAGAAATAGGAAGAACTGTGGTTTCTCGCCACGTATATTGTATCGGAGTAATTTGTATGAAAATATATATGTACGATGATTGATCGTCGATGTTGTCCGAACTTTTTTTTCTAGTCGTCCTCATATTCATTCGCTAGGATCCAAAAAGGAGGATCCATTTTTTAAGAAACGGGAACGTTCGTTTGATACAAAGCGTAATGCTTTACAAAATTACGGAAGACACTTCCAGATGAAAATGGATAATAGTTAAAATCGATAAAATCGAATTTGGAAACTGAATGAACGAACGTTTTCTATTGGAATTACGATTATTTGAAAATTTATTGGAAATTGTATAAAATGAGAACGAAATTTATCTTGTCGGTCACATGACGAATCATTTAATTGCTCGTGCATAAAATATGTTTACGTAATAATGGATGAGAATTGGGAAATTAAAGAGAGAAAGAGGAAGAGAAGAGTTTTATCAACTCGTAAATAAGTACATCCCCCCTTACTTCTTAAAAAAAAAAAAAAAAGACCCGTGTTTTCTCCCTAATCCTTAATGAATTCGTTGTTACGTGTATCTTAGAAATATGTTTAGCTGAAGACTTAAGAAAGATTACTATTGATGCAGGCGCAAAAGTAAGAGTAAAAGAAGAAAGAGTAATATTAAAAGAGTAATATTCGAATAAGCGCTAATTATGCGAGTAAATGGATAATAACGCGTATAAAAAAAAGAAAAAAAAATATACAGAAAAATATAAAACAAAAAATATGCGTGATGTAAATGAATAATAACACAGAAATTTGTTAGGAAATGAAATTAAATGTTGTCTGCCCCATGATTACTCTTGGTATTAAAAAGTTGTGCTCTTGCGAGAACGAGCACAAAGAATTTTTTTAAATACTTAGACTAACGAGTATTCACGATATAACTGCACAATAAAAAAAGTAAAATAAAAAATATAAGCCGACACACATTGCGTACAATGCAATCAAACGAAAAGATATGGTTACTATATAAAATACACGAACAAGTATTGATCGCCTGAGTCGTTTAGTTGTCAAAGCTATTTAAGTAAGGATCGTGGGGTGGACATGTAGTATATATGATATACAAATATATATAAATAAATAAATAAATATATATGTATATTTATATATTATATAAATATATATGTATATGATATAAATATAATTCATTGAATTAAAATGATTGAATGATTGCGTGAATGATAACTGATAATGCATTAAAATAAAAAGGAAAAATGACTCGTACGATTATAAATGTGTTTTTAAATTACAAAAAAATAAAATAAATATTTCATTCTCATTCTGTGATGACTGTCTGAATATGAAAAGAAAAGAAGAAATGTTTTCATGAATCTATGCTGATTAATTAATTAAATTATTATAGCGAATAAACAATTCGACTCGTGTTGTACTAATTGTGCAAAAGAAATAAAATGAAATCACCTACAAGTGTGAAAATATGTGCGTCTCATTCGCTCGTGTCGATGAGAGACGCGTTATGTTCGTATAGCGTGTTATATATGAATCATATACACTATTTAAACAAAAAAGGGAGAACACGTACGCTATATCTGAATGCAGAGAACAAACAGTATGATTTGTATACTGTATAACTTTAGTCGTTTACTATTGATTTCGAGAAATGTGTATAAATTATTATGTGTAATTAAACAAAGATCATTTAGTAAATTCTAAGAGTATATAATATATATATAATATATATATATATATATATATATACAAACATATAGATATATATATTATACAAAAAACTGAATCACATGCGCGCGTGCGCGCACATGCACATATACAAATAAAAAACATACCAAGATATTGTGAAAATTACAAAATCAACAGTACTGCAAGGCCATTGTATTATACATATGTGTAACTAAAATAGCGATGGTACAATTATGAAGATTATAAAAACAATAAACACTTACCATATGTCTTATATACACATATATTATCTAAGTGCTATCTAAATCATATGTTTTTTTTTAGAGATAATATATCGAAAATACTTCATTCATAATTAATTATGAAGTAAATGTTGAGACACATTGTTACGTGAAGTAATATGTTATATTAATTGTAACAAATTTATATATTACACTTGGAAGTACACTATATTTATAAATATTAAGAGACTATTCAAACACTAGTATAACATATTAAAACATAATATGAAGATAGAGTTAAATTAAATTAGAACATAGTAAGTAAGTTTCTCATATAATCATGTGTAAACCATTTTAATTCGCCGTTTTCACCAAATGTCTTTTTAGATACCAAATTTGTGCTTTAGATTCCAAAGAGGATAATTGGGACACATAAGGCGCCATTTGCTGAACATGATTTTGATAATTGGAACCTAAAAATTTATAAACATTAAGATATAATTTATAATACTAGTATAAAATTTACATACCCATTGTCGCTCTTTTTTCTCCATATATAACTTTTCCATCGAAATCATTCATTGGAACTTTCATATCTGAATCAACTTGTTGAATTGTGATATTTAAATGATCTTCAATTTCAGCTAAGTACTGGAAAAAATAACTTCAATAATTGAAAGTCAAAGAAAAAGTAAACATGTCGTACTATGTTAAAACTTACGTTCGGTTCATTGTACCAAATACAACAACCACCCTTATCAGTAAGATTAGTATTGTAACAATTTCGTCCACGAGAAGAACACCATTCACCGTGATACCATACTTTTTCAGGAACTTTACTAACTAACGAAATGGCTAGACCCATTCGTTCAGCTCTACCAACTCTACCTATACGATGTACATAGTTTGATTTTTCATCAGGTAGAGTTATGTTAATCACTAAAAAGAGAATTATACAAATAATAAAATCATAAAATTACATAAATATTTATTAAATATTAGCACAATATACTGACTGAAAGGTAATCCTGAAATATCTAATCCTCTAGCTGCAACATCGGTACATATTAAAAATTTTACTTCTTGTCTTTTGAATTTCTCTAAATTAGATTTACGCTCTGCAGGCTTTCGGTCGCCATGTAAACATACACATGAAAATTGGTTTCCACCAGATTGTTTCAAATATCGTTCCAAATTATCGCAATCTAATTTAGTTCTACAGAATATAATGGCTCTGTCCATATTATGCTCCTTGATGGCACGAATACAGTATTCACCTTTTAATATTTTTACAGCCTCTGAAAGTGTTTCTATAAAACATATTTAACGTGTTATTAGATTTATAAAATTATCATAAGTTATGCGGAATTATTTAATTCGAAACGCACCAGGATTGTTACTTCCGGGTCTTATATTATCTCTACTGTGGACACCATCAGTTTCTATACATTTTCGTAAATTATGCCAAGATTTATCTTTTTGTGGATCTACTATTACAACAACATGATGCACTGTTTCGGGAACTGCATCTTCACCTTTCAAATCTACCCATGTTGGAAAATGCATCAAACGTTCCTATGCAAATATATGCAAAATAAAAATTTGTTATATATTTTTTTTAAAACTTATATAACATTACAAATTACAATTTAAATATTTACCGCCATCTTTTTTACTTCAAAGGCATGTAGAGTTGCAGAACAAACAATCATCTGCAATCTTTTTCCATCTGATGTAATTTTTGGTATCTGTCTGTGCAAACGATCGATTAATTCCGTATAACCTTGTTTTAATAGACCATCAGCTTCATCTAAAATAAAGAATCTGAAAAAGAAATTATACAATAACTATTATATTTGATAAATGTATTATACAAAAAATATATTATATAATACCTGCAATGTGTTAAAGACAAATAGCCACCTTGTATTAAATCTTCTAGACGTCCTGGTGTTCCAACTATTATATCTACACCTGAATTTAATACAGAAATTTGCTCTTTTACACTAACTCCGCCAATCACCAACAAATCTCTAATAACTGGATCTTTCAAATATTTTTTAAACTGTAGAAATATACGCATTTTATAAATTATAATATTTTAAAAAGATAAATATTTTAAACAAAAGACATAATATCAATTATAATTATTGATATCTTACTTTTTGTATTTGATTATAGGTTTGTTCTGCAAGTTCTCTTGAAGGCTCCATGATTATAGCTTGAGGAGCATTACATTTAGGTTTGCCATCTTCTTTGCTTTGAGTTTGGTTACTATTTATAGAATTCTCTCTTATCGCTTCTTTAGATGCCGAAGCAACAGCTATATAATCATTTGGAGGAGGATATTTAAATGGTTGTGCTCCGAAATTGAATGACATTTCTGCATTTTTCAATACTACAGCTGGATAAAAAGTCTGTGACTTTTGTTGTGCATTTAATGTAAATGCTAGACCTAAGTCTGCTCCATTTAATGTGAAACTAATTTCACCTTTTGATAAGTTCAAAAGACATCCAATTACATCATGCATTCCAAAAGATTTTCCATAATTATCAAACTGCTTTGCATTTGATTTTTTACCAGTTCCACCATAACCAAAACCAAATTTATCTGTTCCTAAATCTAGTGAAGCCTATAATTATAAATATAATAATAATTATAATATATTTTATCAATCATTTTTTAAAAACTAATAAAATATTAAAATAATTACTTGAGATGTAGACCAGCCTACACGACATAATCCTTCATCAGTTACTATAGCTTCAAAAAAATATTTGTTTTTTCCTTGAATTCCTTTGTTTGCTCTACAACCATGCCATTCTTTCTGTTCACGACTTTGACATCTTAAACCATCAGGAGTTACAGCTAATGCTCTACCTCTATCAAATAAACTTAATGCCCAATGTGCAGCTGTAAATAAAAAAAATACTATCATTGTTGAATAAAAAAAGCACAAAATAATTTGTAACAAATATCAAAAAAAACATACAAGGTTGATGATGACCACTAGAACTACTGCTCATTTTACCAGATTCTAAATCTTTTAGAGTTTCCCATACAATTTGCAAAACTGGTAAACAAAATGCACCAGTTTTTCCACTACCAGTTTCTGCAGCCATTAAAACATCTCCACCACCCAAAATTAATGGAACTGCTTCAGCTTGGACATCAGTTGGTAATCTACATAAATATATAATATTTAATATTTTCTTTTATATACGTAATTTTATTTTACTTACGTCCATTCCATTTCATCAACTGCCTTTCCAATTTCAGGCAAGACACCCATTTCTTAAATAAAATTTTAATAATATTTAAAAATTTTTAACAGTCTTATCAAAGATAATAATTTAATTGATAATATTATTATATGTTTTATTTAAAAAGATATAAATTATTTACCTTCAAATGCCGTCATTTTTCTACTTTTAATTTATGTCTCTTATAGATTTAAATTTAAAGATATACCATTAAAGAAAGTACTGCACCGGTACTTTTTAAGAAATGATCAGATACGTCAAGAGATATCTAGATATTTGATTCAAGTGCCATCTATATGCATGAATCATAGAACACATAAATATAGTATAGAACATTCTCATATTCTGGATATCATTTATTTTTTAATTTTCTTTACTAAACTAAAAATTAATTTAAAATTTCAAACAATAATATTAAATAAAATTCATTTTATCAATTATTTATAAATTATATAAAATATTTTAAAATAAACATTATTTTTTTACTTATTTTTAAATTAGCCTTAAGGTCACATTACTCTTGCGCAAAACTACGATATAACATATTAATATGGTGGAGTTGTTGTGAGTAAAAGTACAAAATGGAAGATTTGTTGTTTTAATCAAGTTTATTGTAAATAAATTCCATACATGTTCAGGAGGAAAATAGATATTATTGCAGAAATGATTTTAAATACCATTTGTTGCTTACTTAAAAGATAGCACCGTAGAAATGACTCCAAAATGGAAAGTATGTACATTTTTTACAGGTTATATGTTCATTCTACTTTTATAGTTTATATTATATATAAATGTGAATTAATAAATATAATATTATTATTAATGATAGACCACTAGTTCAGAATCTACTACAACAACTAGTTCTGGTTCTTCATCAAGTAGTTCTTCAAGTTCAGGCAGTGAATCTAGTTCATCTGATTCTGAAAATTCTAGCAGTTCTGCTAATAGTCAAAAAGTATCTGATACAGAAAGGACAAAAAAGAAAACAACATTCCCTCCTAATAGACATGGCAAATCTAAAGTTGATACAGCTGTTACTCCTTCTGTAGAAAATAAAAACAAAGATAGAGTACCACCAAAAAATAGATCTGTGGTATATTCTTCAGAATCAGAAGGATCACCAAGTAAAGTAAAAGCAATAACAAAAAGGAAGCCACCTACTAAACCGAAAGCAACTGCTACAGTAGCACCTGTTGTTAAACAACAAAGGCCACCTGCTAAGTCAGTGGCTACTACTGGTCAACAAAAAAATGTACCAAATCCTAAAACAATTGCTAACAAACCAAATAAACCTTGTGGTAAGAATACATTATTTAAAACAAATTTTATTTAGATTTTTTTTCATTTGTTAATTGATAATATATTTTTTTAAAAGCCTCTACAAGTGCTAATGGAAAAGGTCCTGAGAAATCTATAAAAACGATTTCTGAACCTGTACAAAAAAAGCTAAAAAAGAAGAGTATATTCAGTCCTGAGAATAGTAGTGAAAGTGACAATGGTATTCCAACAAAAACTAATTCTGTAAAACCTATAAATAGTTCTACGAAATACACAAAAAATCAACAATCTAAACCAAAACCAAATGATGCAAAACAGAAAGCAGTTGCTCCAAATAGATCTAGTATGTAATTGCGACATAATATACGAAATCTTATACGTAATATACGAAATAATCCTGTTATCTAATGATTTTAAATGAATTGATTTATTATGTATTAGGTTTATTAACTAAATCTGCACAATCTCAAAAATCAGATAGTTCTGCAAGTTCGAAAAGCTGTTCTGCAGGATCAGGTTCATCAGCTTCTACAGATAGTAGCACAGATTCTGAATCATCAGAAAGTGTTACAAGTCCACAACCACAAACAAAGAAAAAAGATACTCAACCAAGTACAACAATAAATGCCACTACAAACGTTCCACCAAAGCGACCTTCTGCAGCAGTTGCACCTGTAAAACCACAAAAGTGTACAAAAAGACAAAGTAAGTAGTAGTTGGTGCTTTTAATTAAACGAATTTAATAACGAATTTAAAAAAAATTTACTACGATTATTAGATACAATAAAAAGCGAAGATGAAGCCGACGCGTCCGCGAGTGAGAAAGAAATGGATGAACATGGTGAAACGGGCACGTCGAAAGCAACTACTAAAGGCAAACGAAAACTTCAGACTCGAAAAGGTAGCAAATTGCTTCAACTACAAGCAAAGGCAGCCAGCGATTCGGAATCCGATACAGGTATATATAAAATATATAGTAGGAATAATCATAGAATGCGAATCGTTTTACTATTAACCTTATATCTCCCTCTTATCTCTTTATGCATTATGTTTCCATTTAAAAAATTGGTATTTCTTAAATTCTATCTAACATATTTTATATAATATGTGTGTTTTATTAGTTATATATCCTTAATACATAGTAGTTTTTATTTATTGTTTCCCTTTTTATTTCGTTTTTATGTCGAACAATATTAGTTTAGAAATTAGACTAACCAATTGAACTGATTTCGTATTTTCTCCTTTCATAAGTTCAATTCCTCCTATCAATCTTTTATCGTAACCTTATTACTAGTTTCAACAAACGTATATTACACTTAGGTACATTATTATTATAGTACCACCGTTCTCTCGTAGTAAATATCTCTAGTTACATTTCGATTACTTGATCGGATAAAATCGAAATTATTAGCATGAATATCTTGAAAAGAGGCGGGTAGAGAATTTTCTGCAGGCGGTGGATTTAGGACTCTATGCTGCCTCCTTAACACAAAAAAGCAGTATTTGCGGTTCTGGATGGATGGATTGGACATATATATGGCCCGTAGGAATCCACTGGTCGATGGGACAAACATTTCGTATACAAAAAAGCATGTCCAAGGTGTCCTAAGATGCAGATACAGTCTTTTTGCTTACGGCGGCAGTATGGTTCTCAGGTACGGAAACGGTAGCGTGTAAACGTATCCTGCAAATTCCGCTGATCCGGTGTGATTTATCGAGAGTAGCTGAGAGCAAGAGGAGTGCCAGCAAATCGCCCGTTAAACGTGCTGGACCTAGTACTGCAGCCAGACATTCATCCGCAGCCAACAGAATACCACAGAACAGTGGTACATCAAATGCTACTACTGGAAGATCAGGACAAGGCAATTATGGCCGTACGCGCGTAAACAAGGAGAGAGAATGTCCCCTAGCACCAACATGCGATTCTCGGGGCCATCTCTCTGGAAAGCTCGATTCGCATTTCACTTTAGAAGCTTGTCCTTTGTATCACAACACTACGCCACAAGCTTGCGCGTAAGTGATATTTTATTATATGATATGATATAGCAAACATTATGCTTTTCTGACATATTTAAAACATATTTCTTTTGTATCTTTTCCAGAGAATTTTATAAAGAGAGGAAAAAACGCGAAGAAGAGAGGAAAAAAGCCATAGCATGTTTGGCGAAAAAATCTCCAAAAGGCTTGCACCAAACAACGGAACAGCGTAATTATCAATTAAAAGTGAGAGAAATGAGAAATAAATGGAAAGGAAACGCTGGTGATGGAAACGAAAGCGATAGTAGTTGTGAACTTCAGGGAAACGAGAAAGATCGTCAACCACGATTAACAAATTTAACGCCAGACTACGATTTAAAATTATTTATGGAAGCGCAAGCGATCGCAAGTGAAAAAATCGTAAGTTGAAAAACACTTATTGTTGTAAAAATACTATATTGTTGTAAATTACAAATGCTATTTTATATTATGTTATTTTATAATTTTTTTTTTTTATAGGAAAAAGAATTAAAAGAATTAGATTACGACGGTGAAGGCAGAAATAGTGGTGGTACACGAGTTATCGAAATGGGAAAGTGGGAAATGGAAGTATGGTATCAAAGTCCATACCCAGAGGAATTTAGTCGTGCTCCAAAACTTTATTTATGCGAATACTGTTTACGATATGCAAAAAGTCGTCAAGTTTTAAGAAGGCATCGAGAAAAATGTTTATGGAGACATCCGCCTGGACATGAAGTGTATAGGTTAGTAAATACAAAACAATATATATATATATACATTATTTTTTCTAGAAATATTTTGAATTTTATTTTATTTATTTATTTTTTTTTTTTTTTNATTTTTTTTTTTTCTACAGAAAAGATAAAATAGGTGTTTGGGAAGTCGATGGGAAACGTTACAAGCAATATTGTCAAAATCTCTGTTTATTGGCAAAATTCTTTTTGGATCATAAGACATTGTATTATGATGTCGAGCCTTTCCTTTTTTATGTGATGACGATTGGCGATTCTGAAGGTTGTCACACGGTCGGATACTTCAGTAAGGTGAGTTTTTAAATTTACATTCTTAAAAAAAAAAATAAAACGATATCAATTATTCGAGCATAACGTGTATTTCTGATATTTATGGTAAACAAATAAATAATATCTTTCGAGTCGATTAACGTTTGCGCAATACACGTTAAATTATAAAGTAGGTTAAAGAAGAACGAATGATTGCGAAATGTTGAACAAATATTTTTACAAATTATTTATCGCTTGAGATATTATTTTCCGGCACGGATTTTACAAACGGAAAATTACTTAAAACTACATTGAGACGCGAGACATTGCAGTACAGTGAAAGTGAACAATGTCAATGAACTGTGCATTTGTCGGTTGTATTCGACGCAGTTAAAAAATAAAATCAAGCTAGGCATAAAAGAAAAGTTCTTCGGGCGTTTCTTATTGGCACGGATCTCGCAGCGACAAGTTACCAACAGCGATATTAATGCGGAGCACGTGCTTGTACGTGCGCGACTGTGCGTGAACGATGATGTCCGTTGTACTTGTGTCAGTTAGCACTTGCGTAAATGGAGCCCACGTTTATGTGGTAGGCGTCTCTATCGTACGACCCTCGTGGATAATATTAAAATCATTTAGCCTATTAAAAAGTGACATTTCATCTTGCTTTTGTTACTCCTTCTTTTTTTTTCTTTTTCTTTTTTTTTTTTTTTATCAACGTTAAAATTGTACAACACAATCTCTTTGTCCTTATCCATTATTAAACTCGACTGTATCGTTTATTGGTTGTAATTATTAATTAAGAGAAGGAAGGGAAAATTTTCTGGCAAATTCTCAAATAGGCGTTGCTCGTTAAAGAGACGTAATCGAAAACGGATAAGGAAGTCAAGATTGTCGTAGAAATTTATATTTAAAAGAGAAAAAATTGCTTTTGTCTTTATTTTGTGGTTTACTAGGGCCGTAATGGCATTCACGTAGCCTGTAGGGATTACACGAACGAGGGTGTGTATCGCGAAGAGGGTGTCTCGTATCCGTGACCCCTCTTTACCCGAGCACTCCTGGTCTGGTTGGCTAGGATGTCGGTGGGAGAGAGAGTGCGGGCGCTACGCACGCCTATTTACTGCGGAACAGCATCGCCGGAGTCGAAATCTTTACCGACGTTCAATGACCTCTGACCCTGGCAAGACGCGCCAATCTACACCCTCCCGCCCCCTTTCTCGAAGGAAGAAGGAGGGCGACGAAAATTTTCTTCGACCTCGAGCAAACGTTTTACGCCTCTTTCTTCCTTCTTCGTCCCTCTCGTTTGTTTCTTCGATCCTTTCCTTCTTTTCTACGAGAACATTCTACTTCCACGTTTGTTTATTTCTCTTACAAGATTTCCAACAAATTTTATTTTCCTCTCTCTCTTTCTCTCTCTCTCTCTCTCTCTCTCTCTCTTTAAATATATATATTTGTTCTTTTATTTTCTTTTGATATTTCATTGCCTCGAAATTCTTCTCAAGCGCGCATCGATCTCTTCGGATTTACCAAAATTCCAGAGACATCGACACGTTCATCATCCCTCTGAATCCTTCGTTCTCCCCTCGGAGTTGCGGAAGATAATTTCGCGAAAACCTGATAGCTCGATAATTTCTTGTATCGATCGAATTACGACAAAAGGAGAGGCGATACATGGTCCTTACACATAGATTGCATTACGCATCTTACAAAAGGGCGTAGTACTCGACGGATAGCCGGTCGCTGCATCCGCAGCGGCGGTGGCGGCCGCGACGCCGGTACAGCGGCAGCGGCGGTAACGCGGAGTCAAAATCTTTATAGACGTTCAATGACCCCGACCCTGGCCAGACGGTCGTAGGGTGGTGGTGGTGGTCGTGGTGGTGGTAGTGGTGGTGGTGGCGGCGGCGGNTGGTGGCGGCGGCGGCGGCGGCGGCGGCGGCGACGTACCGAGAGAGGGATGACGGGGGTGGGTGGTGGCTCTAGCGTACGTACGCTATGCGCTTACGACGTGCAGTACCAGGTGGGTGGTTTAGTCGAGTGGGGGATGCCGTCGGCGGTGGTGGTAGCTGCAAAAGGGGGATGATGGTTGCAGAGGACGATGGGGAAGGGATGGTAGGGCGGCAAGGGGAGAGAGGGCGTCGCCTGGCATCGGGTCGTCAACCTTTCTGCGGCACTGCGACGTCGGGGTCGTTATTATTTCCTCCTCCTCCTGCTCTTCCACCACCATCTCCTCCTCCTCCTCCTCCTCCTCCTCCGCCACTTCCTACTCCCGCTGCTGCTGCTGCGTCTCTCTTACGTCTTTCCACTCTCTCGCCCCACCGTCTTCTTCTCTGCACCATCGCCATTTCTTCTTCCTTCCTTCCTTCGATCTCCTCTTTTCTTCCTTCTTCTCACCGTCCCTTCTCTATATTCAAAATCCCAATACTTTCATCATTTTTTTCTTTCCCACCGTCTCGAACGCGCCTCGATTACGAGCTGTGATCTTTGCCGATGTCCTCTTTGTCTTCCATTCGATCCCTTCGTTGCTCTCCCGACGTACAATACCGTGTTAATATCGCTAATATCGACGACGATGTGAAAGCTTTCTACCGAAGCTCGAGAACTTCTATAGAAACGATGTTCCTCGCCTTCGCGCAACAATCGTTTTATCCTCGCTTTCTCGAGGAACAATTTGTCGCGGATGAAAGAAAACGAGGAAATTCGCGAAATTCGAGTTTTCGATCGATCGATCGAGTGTGTCCAAAATAGTCGACGAGCGTATGCTCTGGTTATTTCTTCCTCGTATCTTGCGCTTCTCCCCTTGGTTGACCTCGAATAATCCGGACGTTGGCCTTGAGACTGGAGGCCATTGACCCGGGCTAGACAGCCGTTGACCTTGAGTAATCCGGGCATTGACCCGGCGCATCGAGGAGGCGGCGGCTAACTCGGGGAGATCTAGACGTTGACCTTGGGCGATACTAGCCGCGACCTTGAATGATTCGCCCCACGTTTCGTGGAACGGGGCCTGCGTGGCAATGTGCACACACGGTGGCGAGGCGAGAAATCCAGTGGAAGTTTTCGCGCGAACGCGAGGGGAGTAGAGAAGAACGAGCGAGCGGTACGGAGAAGCGAGTGAGCGAGCTGTTGCGCGCACCTACTGAATTTATAAATTTCGTTATTAACCGCACCGTCCACGCCTCCCTTTGCTACATTAAACGCGCGCCACTCGGTGTGCTCATCCTGCGTGTGACGTAGAATTTTTATCAATTCCGAGGCAGCCGAGCAGAAATTAAAAGGGGGTCGGATCGAGGCGTGAACATTTACAGCTTCCTGCCGTGCTTACCGAGACATGAAAAGAAGAAGCTTCTCCGACGAATTTCGAGAAAGCCCCCACCTCCATCCCAGTGCCACCTTCTTCCGCCGACCACCCTCTTCTATCAAACCTCTCCGTACTTCCATCTTAAGTACCGTATAGCGCTCGGCCTCGCACTCGTTCGACGAAAAGAGAAACGAGAGAGAGGGGAAAAAAAGAACGAGTTTTCGAAACGGTCGAATGTACCGGCCGATAAGGAAGAGTAAAGATTCGGTTCGGGTATATATACGTGTGTGTGTGTGTGTGCGTGCGTGTGTTTCGGGGAGGATATACGAAGATGTAAAAGATGTACGAAGTTGGTTGTGTGCGTCGCAACACTCGATTAAAATACGTTTCTTCTCGACGCTTATAATTGCTGTTTACGACACGTACGATAATGGAGCTCGTAATCGTAATGCAATACAGTTTATACATTCGAGAGGCACCGTATTCCTTTGGATCCCCGAAAAAGGAGAAACGCGTGTCACGTGAAATCCGGACGGAACCGGTTTTCGGGGCCATCGGGTCCGAGATACGCACAACGGGGCCCTGTCCTGCTCCTGAAATCCTTGTACCTTCCACTGTCCGAGGATCAACCTGGCTGTTCTAGTAAAACGAGATTTTCGATAGCCTTCGTGCTCGGTTCCACCGATCATCCACCACCGTATCGGATTATAAACGATGCGTGTAATCGAGAGAGGATATCGTCTTAACGCCTAGTATATTTATCATCCTCTTTTTCCATTTTCCAACAAAGAAGAAAAAGGAAAGAGAGAGAGAGAGAGAGAAAAACCGCCCGATCAATTAATTCTCTTCCGTTCGCTTTCATCTCGAGACGGAATTCGTTTCATTTTTAAACGTGTTAAAAATCTCTCTCTCTCTCTCTCTCTCTCTCTTCGAACGGGAGATCAATCCAATTCTGGAACGAAATCGTACGAAGGAAGCGTAAAGGCGGGAACTCGATACCCACGTTTGGAAACGAAACCTTGGCCAATTAACGCGTCGATGAAGACGTATCTGCTTCCAATGTCCCCGTCCAGACGTTTGAAACGTCCGAGTCTCGGGGGCAAGGAAAGAATATACGCGAACTGAGCGTAGTATGCGGCATGTTCCGAGCAAACGAGACGACGGCATATCCTCTTACGTAGGTATTCCAGACAGGATCTCGCGTGAACGGAGGAAAAAAAAAAAGAAGAAGAAGAAGAAGAAAAAAAGGAGAAAAAGAGGGGAAAAAACGGCGAGGAACACGACACGCATGTCGAACACCGGCACCTACACACGACAATAACGCTCGTTCTTTCCTGCTCCCATGATACGGATGAAAGAGTGTCTTTCGACCGAGGGGGGGAGGGAGGGACAGAGAGTGTCTTAAAAGCGGGAATAAATCTGCGAGACTCCCTTCCCCTCCCCTCCCCCTCCGACTCCTTGCGTATTCCAATCACGTTACGCTATCGAATTCGACAAATAGACACGGAGGAGAAACGATTCGATTGAAACGTTTCCGCTCGTGCCATCGGTATATATATATGTGTGTATATATATATATATAGCTCGAGAGTTAGGAGGAGCTAGGATGATAATTTCTAGCCCTGCTCTCTAAGGTAAGAAAAGTTGTGAAAGCTTTATGAAGTCGAGGTGTACCGACTGTGGAAAAGGCATTGAGAATCGGTAGACGGTGGTATCCATGGAAGTCGCGACGATCCACGGCCACTCA